AGTGTTACCAAAGTCTTTTGTAACGTTATAAATGTTTTACCGTCACTTTTGATCAATGTAATGCATTTTTGCTGAATAAAAGCATGTTTCTTATAAATCTTAATGACCCCTAACTTTTGAACAGTGTAAAACACTTTATCCACATTAAAAAAAAATATATTACAGTTCCAAGGCATTTCAGTTGATGTATAAGGTCAGTTCTCCTTAAGTTCATCACTTTAACTATGGACATGCTCCAGTAACGTTTTACAACAAAAAGGATTTGACACACTTTGAACACTACATCTATTATTGTATCATTTCAAACCTAAGCTTTGATATTATTGTCATGACAGTAATAACATTTTACCATACAAATATTTTTGGGATATAAATCTTACTTGTGGTGTCAATCTTCTTTACCAGACCTCTTCCTTTGGAGTGGAAAGGCACTCCTGCGGTTTTCTTTAACTGCTGGGCAGTCTCTGTGGCTTTAGAACAAATATTATGGATAATGCACATGGCAATCACCACTCAACAAACAAGCATAAACTCTTATTTTAAATGACTTTAATGAAATCATCACGTTTTTCTGGCACCAATAATTCATAAAGACACTTACATTTCTGAAGCAGCTCAGCTCTGAGCGTAGCACTCTTAGGCTTCCTCTTGAGCTGGAAGTGCTTGATGGGCGGAGTGAGTGGCCCCACCAGCGTAGTCAAAGCACTCTTGTTCAGATACTGACACTCCAAAGGCAACATTGATGACGCTTCACATTCATTTACTGGATGGAGGTGCAAACATCAACAGTAAGTCCCAGCAGATGCTTTCTTACCAAATTGCATACTTACCATATGCACTTGCAAGTAACAGGCAGGTGAGAATACTCATCACAAGCTAATTAGAACCCCACACAAACAATCCCAGACAACCACAATAAATGTCACTGTTACTTGAATAGAGTAATAGAGATGGTCAATGATCGTGAAACGAAAACACTGATATATGAAAAATAAACTTTTTAATATTAATTATATTAAAAATGAATGTTTACAGAGGCATTTTGGGTAGCACTTTGCAGTCAGTAACTGTTCATGAACACATCACACAGAGATTTTCAGCCTAAGACAGTAATATAGCACTCGAAATCAGATTTTTCACTAGAGACAATGGCCCTCATTTATCATTCTTGCGTAGAAACGGGCGTATATGTTGGCGTAAGATTATGCTTACACTCCTCTCACCGCCTGATTTATGAAGCTGTGCGTACCTTTGAAATCCAGGTGTACGCAATGCCTGCCCTTGATAAATCCCGCGGCTAAAAACGATCGTCATTAGAATAACACGCCCCTATTTATTCAAGTCTCCGCTTCCCCCACACCCTCATTTTACGCCATGGACACACGGAAGACGGCAAAGAAGAGAAACTTCTCTGACGTGGAGCCGAAATGACCTATCACAATGCAATATTTTACAGCACGTCTTTTGAATTAGCATCTTACAGTCTATGATTAGCATTCAATTTCGAATCACGTCACATGTATTTGGGTGTACAATAGTGATGATGATGATGTGATGTGGAGTACCATTCATTCACATTAATAATTGCATGACAATTTGTAATATTCTTCTTATTATTAGTATGATTTGTATTATTAATGACGCTTTTTGTTATTTAGAGGAAGAATGTCATTATTATTATTTGTATTATTATTATTATTTAAAAGAAGAAGAATGTATTTTTTATTATTTTGTCAGTCTGAATTATTTTTTGGTCATTGAAAGCCTTTCGTTACCGAACTCAGTCCGTGCGCACCTGCCGGGCCAAACCATGGAACGTCAGGGTAAAGCGCACAGGCTCGCAACTGAAGGAATACATATGGCTACAAATCAAATGCTTTGGTAAAGTCACACAAATTAAACATTGAAGTCCATGTTGCACAAAAATAAACACTGAAGTTTATAATTACTATGTTGTTGTTGTTTTTTTTACTGTGGGTCACAATATATAATATCTTTTAGTTTGTCAGTGCATTTTGTGGTGTTAGGAATTGTTTTTCTGCACATTTCCGCACTAACTCAAAATGTGCGTACACCACCTCCTGAGCTGGCGTAGGATTTGAGCGTGCCGTACGCCAACGTCCATATTGATAAATCTCAAAGTCACCGTGGTTTTGGGTGTACGCCAGGTGTACGCTGGAAATTTGGTGTACGCACTTTTGATAAATGAGGGCCACTGTCTTTAAAATGTGTCGTGAGTGCGCCTAACAAAGTCGTCTATCAGACACAAGTACATAGACCAACAATAAGCTGTCAAACTGACCAAAATTTACATTCCTAATATGTAGTCAAGGGACCAAGGGTGGAGAAATATCTGAACCTAGACTAGAATTTATTGTGAAGAGATGGAGGAGCTTAGAAACCAGAAGAGACAAATATAAAACTGGAAATTATTTACAATGACTCTTGACCCTTTACTAGCACTCCAATCATTGATGTCAGACCAACCTTTCTCACGCAGCTCTCCAAGTATGTCCTGTACATTTGGGTTCTGCTCCTCCAGATCCAGGTTTAGCGAGCCGGTCTCTGGAAATGATTTCAGGATATCGGCCACCATTAACACCCACGGCTCAGAGTCCACAGTGGCCAACTGAATGATCTCTGATAGAGCTTCCTTCATCTGGAATATGAGGGATAGAGAGAGGATAAACGATTTAACCTAGTCAGTTTGTCAGATGAATCTGCTACTATTTCACTGTGGTTTGCTCCATACTGTAAATAGATCATTTCACCACTGCTTACATTATTGCTACTGTAGATTTCCCTCCTTTTTATGGCAATATGCAAAAAAAAAAAAAAAAAAAGAATCATGACAGGAATTCAGGCTAATTTAGTGAAAATTACCTACAATACTGATGAAACACTTGATGAAAACTTTAGAGTGAGTTTTTTTTAAACATTAATCTATACAATTTACTAAGGATTTTAGTTTATTTTAGGGCGAAATGTGTGAGTCAATAAAACTCACTAAAACATACAAATACAATCATACTTTCAAGCTTTACAATAGCTGCATACATGATTTCCGACTTAATATACTTTAAGTTAATAATAAACAACATGCAATTATTATGATTCCTCTTATTGTTTTCGAATTATTGACATTTTGCAGATTCAGCCAGAGGTAAGTAAATGTAAGGTCGCAACTGTATATGAACGCGTTTTTTGATCGAGTACCGAGACTTTTCACTTACTCACAAAATACCATGGTAATCAAAGTTCCCGCCAAAATCCGTTAATATATTTTTATGACAGCAGAGTCTGGTTATCATCAAGTTACCATTGGTTTACAGTATTAGCAATTACTGTACTAAATGTGGTGTTTTGGCGGAAACTAAATGGCAAATATTTTTAAGGGGGGCGTTTTACTCGTTCAAACATAGAAATAAACTGCATCAAAATAACATGCCAACAACAGTCACAAAGTTGACTGCATGTTTACATACAGGAAGGCTAGCAGGTTAGCTCAAGCCCAGAGGCTGAAGACAAACAGCAGCCGGAGACTGACATTATCCAGACAGCAGCTGCTGCAGGGGTCTCATGGTGGAAGCCATGTTATTATTACATATGCAACACATACGTGTCAGCAACATATGACACGATTACTGCTAATAAACAACATGCCACTCCAATAAAGCATGCCACACTAGGAAGTTAAGACAGTGTGTGTGTGTGTGTGTGTGTGTGTGTGTGTGTGTGCAGCAGCAGCAGCAGGAGGAGCGAGTCCTGCAGTCGCACCTCATCCACGGTCCTGCGCGGGAGATGCAGCATCCCCAGCAAGAGTTTGAGCTTCACCGGAGGCGACAGACTGGAGAAACACAGGCGTATGTTGTCGATGACCGATACGGTGAGTAGGGAAGCGATGCTCGAAGGTGTCCACAGCTCGTCTGTCGATCCAAGTTTGTTGTGGAGCCACAGGCCGGTGTCGCTCTCCCTCATCGACGCCATCTTGGAAAAAGACGAATAGTGAGATCGGGCATTTTAACAGGCTACCTAAGAAAACACACATGAGCACGTTAGGACCCGTGTGATCACAAGTTGAAAACTTTTGAAAATATGTCATCAGTATGAGTTATAAGTGATTTTTTCAACTGCTTATTTTTCTTATTTTTATGTTTTATGTAGCCTATTTTGATTTGGCGCTTTGCTGTATTTGACCATGTGTAAAGCATTGGCTATTATCCCTTGTCATATGTTTTGTTTACAACCTGTGTTTTGTATACATTTGTTGATTAATAATAATACCACTTGTTATCTGAGTTCTCAGTGCTAATTTGTTGTGTGAATTTAATTCTGAATCTCATTTCTTAAAAAAAAAAAAAAAAAAACATTAACATGCATGCACTTTCATTTGAACATTGTACAATTATGCAAAGAAAAATGAATTATTTTATATTATTACCAAACACTTTTTTATATTATAATAATATAGGGTATATAGTGCATACAATAGGGTATAAAATAAAGCTCACCAAAGAGTCTCTAACATTGTCTACATCAGTCAACAAAACCAGCTTATTTATTTGTAAACTTGCATTTATGAATGTGGAATTTGGTCAAATTGATGCCACCAAATATCTATCTATCTATCTATACTGTTAATTAAACAAATAATAGAATTATTAAAACCTGCACTGTTCCTAATTAGTAATGCAATAAAATCAAAACGTATATTATTACCAAAGCCCATATTAGACATTCTCTGTTATTACATTCAAAGCGAGTAAGGATAAACATAAAACCCATGTGACCAGAACAGAAGTAGCCAATCAGAGAGAAAAACGTTGTCTGGGCGTTAAACATATCGGACTCCCTCCTACGGTGCTTCGCGAAGGACAATATACCTCAAAAACGCAATTGATGCTCCGCAACGAAACTGCGTCCTGAACGAATAGGAGGGCGGTGGTTTGACTAACGGTAGCTACTGCTGGCTTTATCAGAGACTACAGGTAATGGAAATTAGCTCTGCTTTTATTAGCTGTACTAATGCGCCTAACAAGAGTGGGACTGGAGTGTTTTGGTTATCGTATTTGTAAATGACCATATTTTACCATTATAAAGACAAAGGTAAAATAAAACAAAATATGATGCTCGACAGTCTCTTATGTTCGCTTTGTTAGTCTGTCTTTTGTAAGGTATTTCTAAATTTGTTAGTCGATTTAATGAAAACCGTCTGCTATACGGTAAAATGTAAATATTAAGAACATTTTGTCCATTGCACCTTCAAAGCTCGTCTGTTGTGATTCCGCAGGTATTGTTTACGGTGATGCTGCGCGACAGTATGAGGCCAAGCGGAGCACTAGCGACAGTGATGCTGTTGCTGATCCAGCTCATCTGTTTCAAACACATTCATGCCGAGGAATCAGGGACGGTCATCCCCGCTGAGAGTAAGACTGTGCTTTTATAGGCGTGTGGGAAACAAGCAATTTATCATTTCATGTCTTCTCAACATTGGTTATGGCGTTTCCAGAGCAGTGCTATTTTATTATAGTTTTGATTAATATTTTGGGTTAGCTATTATTTTTATATTTGCAGTTTTCATTTTAATTTCAGTTTTTAGTATTTATGTGCTTTTGTCATTAAAAAAATACAAATAAAAACGTTACCATTTAGGTTTAATTTATTTTTATTTCGGCATTAGTTTTTATTTATTTCCACTTAGTAATTTTAGTGCTTAATCATATTTCAGCTAGTTGCCAACATTTCTAATTTTCTTTTATTTAGAGTTTTTCATCTAATATTTAGCAAAATAACTTCCCCTCCTACAACAAAAATAGTTATTAAAATGATATCCACCCTGCTGCTGTTCAATGTGAATTCATTACCTACTGTTTTAATAGGCCGGCCATGCGTTGATTGTCATGCCTTCGAGTTCATGCAGAGAGCATTGCAAGACCTGAAGAAAACAGCTTTCAACTTAGACTCACGGGTAAGATCACATCGAGACATTTGAGACATAAAACCATTGAATGCAGTCTTTTTCAGGCCAAGGACTTGGTGGACTAAGATGAAAGTGTTGTCCTAATTATATATTTATTGTGGATATTTTAATGTTGGAGAGACAATAAAACATTTAGTTGAACTTTACCTTCTCAACTTAAGCTTTTACATTTTCATTTTATTAAAAAAATTGATTTAAGAGCCAACGATAATTTGCTGACCCCCTTCAATATATGGTTACAGTATATGGTTGAAAATCCTTAATATAAAGTCACCATGAAATCAAAGTTGACAATTGTTATTTCTTTAGTGGAATATTGCAGTATTTATTATAAATGATTTATCTGTGCACATCATGTGCCCTTTAATTGAAATAACTTTCCCTCCCACTTACAACGACATCTCTTTTCTTCTCTGATGACTTCTCTGATGATGTGTTTACTGGCGCGAGGGCGGGGCAACCTGTCACTCACATGACATCACTGCAGTAACAAACCACAGGGATCCAATCTTGTTCGAGAAGCCATTTCACTCAAATATACATCACAATAACAAAGAAAAGACTATTGCAACTTCAATTTCATGCGGACTTTAATGTCAATCAAACCATGAAAAAGATTCATGTCTGGTTGATCTGGTCAATGAAGCATCTTTCAGAGATGTTGGAGACAGACACCTTGGGGCTTCACTTTTGCTTTGTCATATCATATTTTTCAGACGGAGAATTTGGTGCTGAGGGCTGAGAAGAGGGCACTGTGCGACTGCATGCCGGCCAGCAGTCTGCGCTAAAAAAAGTCAGACGTAAACACTGCACTCAGATATAGAAACCATTATATACCTAAAGGATACTACCTGCTCTCATCATAATACACACTCAAACATAGTTCCTGTCATGTGTCACATGAAACATGTTTTATCTTTTTATCTTTCATCGTAGTATGTGCATAGAGTATCATAAATACACATTCCTGACAAAAGTCAACACAACATTCCACAGTTTAAATGTCAATTATGAGAGGCACGTATTAGAGCAGCAGCCAATACATTTAATTTTACATAAGTGTGTATAAAGATAGGGGTAAGTGTTTCCTCTCCAGGCACAATGCACTGCAAAATATTCTGAAAACATAAAACACACTACTTATAATAATTATTTACACAGTAGACTATATGTTGTTGTTTTTTCCAAATGTTGAATTGCATTTTATATTTGTGTTCTAGAAATATCTGATCACAATAGTCATTTTAGATGAATTACATTTCAGAATTGAAATGTACATCTGCAGGAGTTGTCTTAAAGAGTGTTCAGTAAGATTATTAGATTATAGATACAGTATATGATTAGAAATGAAGCTGCATGTGAAGTGATAGTCTAGAATTTTATATGAGGATTTATGAAGATGGAACTTGAAGTAAGGTTCCTATAGAGATTACTTTGCTACTAAGATGCAAGTTCACAGCTGTAACAATGTCTTTTTGTGTGTAGAAATTGTGCATTAAAACACGACACCATATTTCACATTGTAAATCATTTGTGTCTTGTCAACGCACGTAAAATCTTTGATTATGTGATCTCTTCAGATTAGCAAGTTTTTTTTAATCGAAATCCACCTTACCAGCAAAAACTTCAACATCAAGAAGTTTTCAGTTATTTAATTGAAGCATATAGAAGTTATTTAATGCGTTGCATGCGAGAGAGGCAGGAGCACACACGCTCTCTCGCATGTAACGCATTAAATAACCAGACGGGGGCGCAAGGATATAAAGGTTCATTATAACTGTCGCAGCAATGCAGCACTTCCCATTGGGGTGTGAAAACACAGCTCTGCAGCGCAAGCAAGTTAAGGGAAAAATACACACAACATCAGTAAACAGCGGAATTCAGAGAATGCCTCGGCCAACACTGTTACAGTGTAAAACTGCAGTGTGAAGCCATCCAAACTACTGACACTGGTAAATAAATAAACAAACTTTTCCTGATGATGGCACACTCTTCGTTTTGCATCAACTGATGACGGTTTAGTGTAGTTAAAGGAGGGTATAAGAAAACCTTTGGTTAAAAAAGATGCACAGTGCTTTTTCATATATAGCATATGGTTGAAGTGCGAAAAAAAAAGTTTCTGTCTCACAGGAAAAACTGAAACACAAAAACCAACATGATCTCTGAAACATACAGAACTCATATACCTGCAATGAATCAATGCATGTTTCAATAAAATTGAAAAACAATTTTGTGAGGATACAAATGGGAGGGAAACAGAATATTTGTCACTATGAATTTAAACATGTTTTTAAGTTTAATAATATTAATTTAACACATATTCTGTGTTTTACTTGAAACGTTAGAGACAAAAGTGTGCAATTAAAGCTCAAACACTGGACATTATCCATTGATCAATTAGGTCAAAATGGACTAATGTTGCAGCTTTTATTATGATGATGGACGAGGAAGGCAGAAGTTGGACTTGGGTCAGAGTTATAGTTACACTTTAGCTTCACTCATCATGATGTCCAGCAAATAAGTGAAAAAAAAACAATTATACAGCTAATTTAAGTCCTAAACAAACAACAGGAGTTAGAAATGGGCATCTAAAATAAAAATCTCAATACTTATCTCAGACCAGCCACAAGGACCTTGGAGGGTGTTTCACCCATGTAGTGAGTGGCTCATGAATACTTAAAAGATCGTAAGCCATTAATTATGCATACATATTTTTTGCAGAAGCCTCAAATGAATTACTCATTAGGGGCTAAACTATGAATAGGTCTGTGCATGGCCCTTTCTGATGATAAAATATTCACTTTCCTATAGGCAAGAAAGAGTGAGTGAGAAAGCCACTGCCACACCATTCTGGTGTAAAGAGTTTCTGAGCAGGGGTTCTGCAGAGAAATGATGGATTGTGAAGAAAAAAAGACCGCCCCATTACACACACTGTAAACGTGTGTGTAAGTGTGTGTGTGGTACTTAACTGACGGTCTGCTACGAGGTGACGCCCTGTTGCATTATGCATCTGCTGACACCTCTACATCTCTTGCTGATTTTGAAAAAATTCAGAGTTGCTGTCTGTTTTTTCGAGGAGAACAAACCTCCAGCCTCCCTCCCAGACCCGTCTGTCTGTCTGTCTCCTACAGGATGGAGAATCCGGTTTGTTCCTGTTTTACTCTCCTCCTCCTGCCCTCCCTCTTAAACACATTCTCTCTTCATCTCTCTCTCTGTAATTCTCCCGGTTTCCCTCTCTCTGACCCTGTGTCCCGATGCTGACAGTAGTGTCTGGGTGGTTGATGCCCCTGGCACCAGGCATGAGTCCCAGATGAAAGTGGACACAGTGTGCGGATGGTGGGCATCCTGGGACACACCCACAGATGGATTATTTTTAGAATCAAAAAATCCTGGAACAAAACACAGACGCACAGTGATACTGATTACAATGGAATCCATGCACTCAAAAACACTAGTTTATATCACCAAATTAACAATGGAATTAAAAGGAATTATTATGGAATTATTATGACCCTCTAAAGCAGGGGTTTTCAAACTTCACGATGCCATGGATTTTGCAAGGAACCCTTCCTAAAATATAAAGAAAGCTACACATTTTCATAGACAGTTTCATACTAAACAAATTAAATATTATGTGTAAATATATATATATTTTTCCAGGAAAATATGAGTTCTATCAAGCCTTTTTCTATCCACAGTTTTATTAGACATAACTTTGTCAATACAACAAAATAATGATTTACCTCATGATTTCATTATTATGACTATTATTTAGAAAGCAGAATGAAATGTCAAATTCTTTAAATGTGTATTATTATATATTTTATGATTATAATATTTTTTTACAAATTTTTTCTTTGAACTTTTTTTGGCAGACCATCTAGCACTCATTTGAGCCCCCTTGGGGATCTCCGGACCCCAGTTTGAAAACACCTGTCCTAAAGCGTTAAAACAAGCCATTCCACTATTCATTAGCCTTGATCACTGTGCTTAATGATGCTTTTTGGCGATCTCTACTTTACCTGTTGTAGAGTAACACCTTTAGTAATATCTACAGCCTGTATCATTTTCTCCACTTTTAGGCTGCTATATTTCTGCTCTTCCTTTTGTGCTACTCTAATTTACTCTTGACATTCGTTATTAAATTGCTTTTTGTTGGCTACTATAAATTGCTTGTGCTTTTTTTTTGGTAACACTTTATTTTAAGGTGATGCAGTTATTTGTTACTATACACGTACTTACAATAGTAATAACAGTAAAGTATACATAAATACGAGTAACTAACCCTAACTCTATAGTAAGTACAATGTAATGATGTCATCTTAAAATAAAGTGTAACCTTTTTTTATATTTTAAGATGCTTTGGATAAAAGCGTCTGCTAAATGATTAGATGTAAACTACCCAAACAATCCCCACCCCAAATCCTGTTCGATTGGAATATTTAATAATGATTAAGACTATAGTCTATAGCATTAATTTATTGGATTTAATAGAAACACTTAATATTTTCATTTCCCCCAAACCTTATAAAGCCCCTCAGAATAAAAATCTGATATTTAAAACAAGAGACACAAAAAGGTCACATTGGTTCAGTTGTGGGGGTAGCGTAGGAGTACCTCACCTGACCCATGTGGTTCTGGGTGAACACCATTCATGGCGATGTGTGTGAGCTGACAGATCAGAGGACATGGCATCACATTCAACCCATTAACATATGCTGGTTTCCTGCCAGTTCTCTCCCTCGTTCTGCCACTTCCTTTCGCTCTGTTTTTATGAGTTACTAGTAAAAGCTGCGTGAGGAATATTAGTCCCTTCTGTATCCTCTCTAATCTGCAGTACTTTTAATCATGTCACACTAATTACAAATGATATACATCAGTACACACTATATAATGATGAAATCATATAATTAATAGAATATCTTAATAGCATCATATGATTATGAATATACTAATGTTCATATAATTAAATGTTTTTTGAAGAAATAATTAACCACATTGAGCACTTTTACAGAGCAAGAGAAACAAAACTGCTCAAACAAAGTCAAACAGTCACTGAATAATCAGGCAAAACAACATTTCAGATGTAATGCAAATTAGTTCCTTTTTGCAGTTAAATTGGTCAATGATGGTACCCGTTAAGAAGTATTTGAAATTAATTTGGTGACTTCTGTATTCATAAATGCTGTAGTGTTTTTGTTTAATGTTTCCATTAAATGTCATTTAGAAATAAACAGCTACACAGTCTTGTCTCTCAATGTCAGTCAACACTTTGTGAGGAATGACATTTAAAACAGGATACACATTATGTCAACAATCATGTATCAATAGATGTATCATGTATCAATAGAAAAACCATGTGAAATATATACATAAGACCAAAATCTAATATCACAATAGGAGTCATTTTATTCCACAACAATGCTATACATCATGCTATAGTTATTTTTGCTTTAAATAAGTTTTTTATTTCAAAATTTTTGATACTTCACCAATTTCAATATCGCAAAAAAACTAGAACTAGCCTAAGTAAAAAAAACAACAACTCACAAGCTTACTGAAGACAACTCAACAGTGATAAAATAGCAATAGACACAAATGAAATAGACCTACCTGACTCAAAACGTCAATCACTAGATATAAGAATAAGCTACTTAAATACTAAATATACTACATAAATTGTATAAAGTATTAAATGTACAAAAAACACTGCATATCTTCACTGTGTAAATTAAATATACATTTATTCTTATTAAAGTTACAAAAGTGATTCAGTCAAGAGCAGTGAGTAATTTTCTTTGTCTTCTGTTGTTTGATTACCATTAATGACAGATGACAACATGTTTCTTAGGCAGCCGTCACTTTAAGACCAAATGCACGGATCTAATATACTGATACTCATGCGGTTTCTTTCTCAACTGTTTACATTCACTTAAGACATAAATTACTGTGTTTACGAGGATATTCGCAAAGACGGACATTCTGACATATAATCGTGGGTATTTGACAGTTCAAGCCCAATAAGGTGCCAAAAAGAACTCAGTTCAGTACTTATGCGCTGTTGTATGAGCGGCTTTATGGCGCGCATTTCAGGTTTTTGCGCTCAGAAAACGTCTCTCAGACAGCGTGCATAAACCAAAATAAGTTTTTTTTTATTCAGCAATAATTTATTAATTGATAAAGTTTTCCATTTCAAATAAATGCTGTTCTTCTGAAAAAAAAGTGCATCACGGTTTGCACAAAAATATTGAGCAGCACAACTGTTTTCAACAGTGATAATAATAAGAAATGTTTCTTGAGCATCAAATCAGCATATTAGAATGATTTCTGAAGAATCATGCGACACTGAAGACTGGAGTAATTATGCTGAAATTTCAGCTTTGTCAGCACAGGAATAAATGTAAATATACATTTTAAAAATAGAAATGTTATTTTAAATGATTAATTTTTCACTGTTGTTAATATTTTATTAGCCTATTTTTTGTTTCACAATATTACTGTTTTTACTGTAAGCCTATTTTTGATCAAATAAATGCAGCCATAGTGAACAGAAGAGACTTCTATCGAAAAACATCTTACTGACCCTAGGAAGTGAGAAACATTTCTGACTTTCAACAGTGTTAGGTTTATGTAAATATACACCTACTACTGTTGAAAGCAAAATAAAACAACGTTATGACAGCCATTATTGTCAAAATGATCTAGACTGCTGATAATCTTGTAGACTAGTGCTTTTTTTATAGTTTCTATGCAAATCAAGACTGTTAAATGTCGCTGTAGATTTAGCAGCACAGTACTGTAAAAATCAACAGTACAATGCTGCATTTCTATATTACAGTAAAATATCGTAATTTGCCTTGCATTCTGGGTAATATGGCTATTATATTTTCAAAATTCACTTATTATGACGCAGTGTTTAAGAAATTAAAACAGAAATTATAAGCAGGCAGTGATGATAAAAACAATGCAAATCGATAATACATTTTGTTTTCAATTATTAATGGTTGGTTTAATTTAGTGAACATAGCAGAGGGAAAGTATTTTAAATTAGATGTATATAATGAGAACAAATGTATGGTTGTGCAAAGGTAAGACAGATGTTGGTTTTCTTGAAACAGTGCAGGCTGTGGTAAAAATCCTTTCCTCTGGTCTTGGCTTCAGAGTTAAAAGTGCATGAAGACTAGTTTTTTTGTTTAATTTTTGTTTCATTTCCTATACTCGAAAGTACAAAAGCCCTAGAGCTATTTAACCATTGACACGTGACTCGTATTTGCGGAAATTAGTAAAGTTGAGTAATGCTAATTCTATACAACCAAGAGGAAAAATGAGGAGTCCCAGCAAGCAATTTTGCGTTTAAAAGACGTCTAATAGCCGTCCAAACACAGCCCTGCATGACGTCTAGGCTAAAACAAGGCAACATTTAATTTAATAGACGTCTAACCATAGCGCAAGAGACGCACAGTATACAATAACAATAGACGCCCCACAGGCTATATAACATGTCAAAGAAATGAAACCAAACACCTGGTAATCACTGTTAACTTTGCTTACATGATGGATTATCATACATCTTGCAAGTTATTTTGGCCAAAATTATATGTAACAAAATTCACGGTTATTTTGGCTAGAAATGGTTTACTCATAGTCGGACTATATCAGGTCTATAGTTAACCTAGACGGTGAAATGATGGCTATTGCTTGTGTTACTCAGAGACCCACTAGCACAAACCAATGCATGTGCACAAACGCACGCCCATTCAGGGGGGCCCTGGCCATTATAACAATCACACAAAGCAGCAAGATTATTCACTCATGTATGAGGATGGCTCTCTAATATTTGTGCTATTTTAAAGTTCTAGAAAGACATGAACATCTTGGATGGCATTGGGGTGAGTAAATTATCAGGAAATTTTCATTTTGAGGTGAACTAATCCTTTAAGAAGAATGGGCAATAAATTAATTATGATTTAAAATGCAGGCATATGCCTTGACTAGGCTTAGTAAGTGTCTCAGAAACCCCAACCTTGCCACACACACACTAGTGATTACGATTTCTGAGAATCTGAAAGGTCGAGGGTTATTGCAAAATGAAGCACACACTATGCAGTTTTGGTGCTGCCTGGCATTTGGGGTTGCCACTTCTCTCTGGACTGCTGAGGTCAAAGGTCAAGTTACATAATGGAAGGAGAAACAAGTGACCTCATGTAGGCTACGCAAAGTAGGCTATTCAAAAGGAACCAACAATTCAACCACTTTTTAGAAGTAGATCTGATGAGTTAAGATTCATTTTCAATTATAGTATTTTCTATTAATTTAGGAGTCACATTACTAAAATATGCTAATTCATTCTCACTGAAGATTGAGGTAAGTGAGCTGTAGGCTATTGTAAAATATTGCATTAAGATTTTAGATTTTGGACAGAGCTATAATACACAAGAACACAGTTTTTACCTGCGCAAACATTCATTCTAACAAATATTACACTAGCCTATACTTAAATATTATGATAATACATCTTCAAACTGACAAGAGTGCTGCTCACAGCCTGAGCGCGCGCGCGCGCATGCCCGTTGGCACAACAACCAGTCTGCACGCAGATGCTGATGCTGAGAAAAGTCCGCATCTTCACTAGAGCTATTACTACTCGCGCTTTCATTTTTTTTTTAATTGTTGAGGAACGTCGCTTTCGTATTAGGGCGCATGTAAGATATAGCCTGCTCAAACATTTAGAAAAAAAGAAGACTCTTTTCGTCTGGGAGGGGGAGGGTATGGTCGGGGAAGAAGAAGAAGAAGAAAGGGCGGGGGCGATCCAGTCTAAACTAGTTCTGTACAATACGACCTTATTCAAATCGAGGCGATTTCTTCAGGGCATCAGTTTCTTTAGAGAACATATATTCAGCCTAAATCATTTACAACTAGGTACTGACGTAATCCGGTCATAGCGGGAGTTGTGTTTAGCTATTCTTGTGATAAAAATTTAGAAAAGAGAATAAAATACATCCTACATCGATATGTAGCTAGGCTAGTAAATGAGGGAATCCGAAAAAAGGGTCAAAAAATAATATCTCCTATAGGCTAGGCCTATGTTCTCATTCTCATAGGCAGGCTGCAATGTTTTTAAAAACTGATGAACACGGGATCTGGATTTCATTATGCGATTCAACGTAGGCTACCACAAACTTATCATGGGCTACATTAAATAGACTTTATGCCGAACGTCACTTGAACAAAAAATAAAACAGTTCTCATTGCATCCACTTGTCAGAGAAAGTGTCAACAGTAGATGAACTGACGGCGGTTTCTATGAACTTTTAAGGTATCAGATGGACATTGGTTATGCTCATCTTTAGTAGCTCTTAACAGCTCAATATTTAACTAAGCACATACAAAAGACTTTGGACCGGAAGCGATGCGACTTGTCAGAATACGGAAGTTTTGCGCATAGGCTGCTGATCTAGACTAGGACTCGGACTCTATACTGCTAATAAGCACAAAACATAAGCGACTTTGAGAAAACATTCCCAAAGTCGCTCATTACAAATAAGTGGACACGAGTCACGACCACACTGATCTGGGGTCCCAAGAAATAAGGGGTGTGCAATGTATCCAAAGCGTAGCATTGCAGTGCAGTAAAAGTGTCACTCACACACACACACACACACACACACACACACACACACACTGGTAAAACAAGCTGTGCACGTTAGTAAAATGCCAGTGGATGAAACCCCCTGACATCTGCACACTCATTGTAAAATGTGCAGGTCGGGTGTGCATCATTGATGTATGCAGACTGATGTTGCGCAGCATCGTCGTGACGTTGCAGATAGGCTACTGCAATCACACACGGGGTTCAAGGCGCTCCAGAGCGCATCAGGTTCACTCTCCCCCCAAAACATAAACATGTGAGGGATTTCGCCGGTGTACTAACGGGGAAAAAATACTGTTTTAAAAAGACACGTTACAGTGTTTCTTTTGTACTTTCACCTCCCACCGCCGTGATGTGGCACAGCGCCGCATCCAATCAGCGAGATGAGGAGAACACCCACACCCCAGAATCTGAATGCGGCTTTGGCGCATTATAAATACCACTTGTGATGCACCGGCAAGTCTTGGTCGTGAGGAAGCTCAGGGTTGCAGTAGTACATCAGTCTTTTTTCTTTCCATAACAAAGAAGACCATCATCCATCTTTTATTTATTTATTTGCTTCTCCCCAATTTCAGTTAATTTCAGGCCAGTTGCATGCATTGTTCGTCTCCCAAAATGGTTTGCGAGACTAAAATCGTTGCAGACGATCACGAGGCCATAGCTGGGACAAAAAAAGATTCAATTATAGTTTCCTCCTCGCAAATGTGGACGTCTTCTCCCAGTGCGATCGAGAATAAGGTTGAAAAACGGAACCAGGTTTTTATTCGCGAATTTGAACGCTCGGACCATGAGGAGGTGCGCCGGATCTTCAACGAGGGAATCATGGAGCGGATACCTAATTCGGCATTTCGGGGTCTAAAACAGCAAACTAGAACCCAAATTATCTATGCCTTTCTCACAGGTATGTGACCAAAATTCGGGAATACGATGAGAGTATCGCTTTCATCATTGTTCCTCTGCAACATGTGAAAATAAGCTCTGAGCTGTTTGAGTTCATAAGTAAGTATAATAATTGTTAAAATTAAAAGAATCTAACTAAAATGATGAGCCCAGTTGATCAATTTTATGCTCAAATCATCATACATTTTATGTTCAAAACGATGAAGCTAACTTTTTTTTTTTTTTTACGCACGTGAAATCTTTTTCGTTTAATATACAATCCCAGTGAATATCAAGGAGTCACAAAGACAGCAGCAGCAGCAGTTCAGAGTATGCGGCATGCGTTACCGGTGAATGTGTGTGCGCCAAATGATGAATGAATGAATGAGTCCCGCGCGAGCGCACTACGTTCCCCACAATAGCCTACGTCTCGCGTTAGTGCACGAAGTTGTGTGTGTGTGTGTTTTTTTTTTTTGCCTGTTTAGGTCTATGACGTTTAATTTACAGAGAATTGATAACCATTAATAATACGTATAATATTTAATGATTTATTTCATTTTCTTGTTTACTAATGATTTTCAATGGTTTTCAACTACAGGCGGTGTAAGTGAGCATCGTGGCGATCTGGCTAAACAGCAACATTTTTGTACCTTTATGCTACATTGAAAAATGATTTACAACCCTACAGCTGAAATTAATGATTTTGTTTTTAACAATGTCTATACACTTGCATACTAAATATGCTCAGAGAATATGCTGCATCACGGTACACCTATGGCAACTGTTCCTCTGATAAATTCAGCATAAAGGCTAACTTGAAGTGTTCTTAAGAATAGCAAAAACTTTGTAAGCGCATTTTACAGTTAGTTAGAGTTGTGTTGACAGTAAACAATGCGCAGTTGTAGCCTTACTCAAGGGCGCCATCCTGTGCCAACAGCCAACATACTGAGATTTTCTTGAGTTTAATTACATCCATGAAGACCCTGTTATTGTGCACTCCATTGCCCATTAAAACTCCAACCGTACATATGTATAAAGTTACTTACTACTTTTTTTTAAATTACAGGATACACTGTAATTAGTCTGTTTTCCATTACATCTCACTGCCCTGGTAAAATCAGGGTTTCTCTGCACACTCCTAATTGTGTAAACATTTGTTTGTCTATTTGTCTCTCTTCTGCCAAAAATCAAACATTTGATTCTCTTTTCTGACAGGTGTCGTTTATTTTTCTTCCATTTCTCCATAGTAATGTGCTATGTTATGACCAAATCCTTCACACTGACCTTCTGCGCACCGTTTATTCTAATGGGTGCACGTTATTACTACAGCAGAAAAGTCATTCTCGAATACCTGGACTGCGCTCTGCACACTGATATGGCTGACATTGAGGAGTATTACATGAAACCCACAGGTAAGGGGTAATTTCACGCACATAAACATTGACACAAAATTCTCATCACAAGTAGGTTTTCAACATGTTTCGCTATATTTGTGAGGACATTTTTTTTTTTTTTTTTTTAAGATTTGGCTCTCATAAGTATTGCCAAACCTGTAAAACACTCACACTGTTCAAAAGTTTGGGGTCAGTAAGTTTTTTTTTAATGTTTTTGAAAGCAGTCTCTTAAGGCTGTAATTATTTGAACAATATTCAGGAAAAACATTAATATTGTGAAATATTACAATTTTAAATAATTTTAATTATACTTCAGAAATCATTCTTAAATGCTGATTTGGTGCCAAAGTAACATTTCTTATTGTTATCAGTGTTGGAAACAGATGTGCTGCTACATTTTTTTTAAAACGTTAAATTTTTTCAGGATTTTTTTAGATGAATAGAAAGTTCAAAAGAGCAGCATATATAAAAAAGTGTTTTGTAACACATTTTACTGGTCACTTTAGATTAATGTAAGGTGTCCTTGCTGAATAAAACTATTAATTTCTTTAAAAAAAATCTTGCTGACAAACTTTTGAATGGTACTGTAAGCAGTTCATTATATTGGTGAAGTCAATGACATTATATATATATATATATATATATATATAAAAATCACAATATATTTATATATAAAATATGATATAAATACGTCTACATCAAACAGCACCTGGGCACTTGATAGTAAAATATAATTTTGCTGATCTAATAACATGCTTAGGCACGAATACTTATAATTTTACATAGATCTTACTATATTTAAGAGAAAAAATATTTCAATGTATGAACTTCCCAGTTCCCACAATGCACCAGCTTCCTCAATCAACCATTTATCTCACCAGAACAAACACTCTCAGGATCAGTACCTGTGAAATTGAGGGTAAATACTGCACTTTAGAAGTCCAAGATGGGCTGAATATCTGATGTGTAGCTTTAATGATGAAGACTCATGAAATATGCAGAAAGTCTCTCTCAGTTCTGCTCTTGAGGATACATCTTCTGAGTCATGTGGGCCTATTGATTGAAGGTAGGAAAAATGCTGATACAAATTGTGTTGCAGTAAACTCAGATTTACAGTTATAATCTTTAAAGCACCCCAAAATAAAAAATAACTTTCCACTTATGATCCATTTTTAAGCGCAGAGAGAGCAAACTTTTAGAGTTAAGTGATAAATACAACAAACCCTTTCGGATGGATACATTAGCAGTAGATCAAGTACAGTTAATGAATCCCATTGTGCATATAACTGTGATGCAGTAGTAAACATACTAATACTGCAGATAACAATCAACGTACAGTTGAAGAGGGACAGAATGATGGAGGTGGTTAGTGGCTCTTTAGTATCCTGATACCTTGCAGATAAAAACTGTTCTTTAACCTACTTGTGTATGATTGGCGCTCTGGAATTGTTTAGCAGATGGTAGTAGTACGTGCAGATCGAGTGCTGGATGGCTGAAATCTTTTATCATTCTATGGGCTTCCCTCACACAGCGTCAGCGTAAGGACAGACATTTATTGCCTATGATAAACTCTGCTGCAGCACTTCACGGTCAAATTCAGAGCAGCTGCCTTAACAAACAGCCAGATGCTGGCAATCAGAATGCTCTCAGAAAGTAAAGCCGGTTGATATATCTTAAGAGTCTATCTTATATGGCCTGGATAATCACTGTGAGTGATGCAAAATGATACACTTGCGTTCAAAGCTTGGGGATTTTATTTGATCTTTTAAAGAAATCTTTTATTTATTTTATTCAGAAAGGATGCATAAAAATTGATCAGACGTAAAGACTTTAACATTGTTACAAAAAATTCTATTTAAAAAATGCTGTTCTTTAGAACTTTCCATTCATCAGAGAATCTTAAAAAAATCTTTAAAAAAACCAATGTTCCACAACAATATTAAGCAGCACACCTGTTTACAACAATGTTAATAATAAGAAATGTCTCTTATGCAACAAATCAGCATATTAGAATGATTTCTTTAGGATCCCTTGACACTGAAGACTTGCTTGAATAATTTACAATTTAAAATATATTAAAATAGAAAACAGTTATTTTAAATTGTAATAATATTTCATAATATTACGTTTTCTTTACTGCTTTGATCAAACAATGCAGGCTTTGTGAACATAAGAGACTTTCAAGAATCTTACTAATCATTTTTTTCAGGATTCTTTGATGAATAGAAGGTTTAAAATATTTTTTTTTAACATTATACATTTCTTTACTGTTACTTTATCAATTTAATGCATCCTTGTTGAATCAATGTTTATTTCTTTATTTATATATATATATATATATAAATTATAAACTATAAAATTACAACTATAAAAATAGTTGTCAGTCCCTTAGTGCAGACAGTTTCTGTGCGTACAAGCTTCTTATTTAGTTCTGCATCAAGTGAAAGAGAGAATTGAAGACTAGGGTCAGGAAATGGGGGAAGGTGTGAATCAAAGCCCCGCTGTGAGTATGTGTGGTAGTTTTGTTTAGTAGCAGCATGCAGACAAAGGATTCTCCCAAGGGATTTTCTCTCTTGCTATGCTAATGTGGAATCCTACATCTGAGGAGGGAATGGTAAAGATATATGGGTTATCTGCCAGGGTGATGTTTCTTTAATGCACTCAATATCTATTTGAAGTGGCTTTTATTATTAAAGAGACAGGGTTTTTGTCAGATACTTAAAACACAAGGAATACCCCATAAAATACAGCACCATAGTGATATACATGAAAAAGAAGACTAGTTTGGACAGGAAGACACCTCTTTAATATATGGGAAATACACGAACAGATCTGTTATGCTCCCCACTTTAATGATGACATGAAATGGCATTAGTGACATTTAATTTCTTTAATGGGATGCGTAAAACTGCATATTCAGCAGGAAATAATGTGAAGTGGGACTTGATTTTATTGGTTCATTAAAAGTTGTTCAATATTATTGGCGAATGTTATTTTTCTCCATTTGAATGGTACACACACACACACACACACACACACACACACATACACACACACAAACAAAGCAGTTATCAGACAGCTGGGGAGGGGGGTGTAGTAAAACTAATGAGTGTACAGCAGGACGTTCAGTTCCACAGTGATTAATAGTGCTCCTCAGTCCTGAAGCTAATGCAGTCATGACTGGGGATGGGTATCGTTGAGGTTTTACTACTCTTACCGATACGGCTTATCGATCAGGTACTTTAATGGTATTCTTATCGGTTCTTTTTGTTATATTTTTTATTTTAAAAAAGAAGAAAAAGAAACTAATTAAGAACACAATTAACATTGCTTTATATTCTGAAATGTAAAATAAATATCTATAGCAAAAGAAACAGCACTGTTTGAACAAAATGAATATAAAACATTTATATTTGTAAATGGACCAGCGTGCAGTGTTTTATGTGAACTGTGAATTGCTTAATAATCTGGAAGATCCCGTTTAAGTAGGGTTTCCATTTACCTAAGTAGACCTGGCAAACTATTTAACAAACCTGTCTGAGATTGATACCAGTTATCTAAATGGATATGGAGAAATAAAACCAACACTATATTTGAAAAACTTGCATAATAATTTGGAACACAGTGTAGATTAATATCACAGGCCAAAAGTTTAACCAGACATTTGAATGTTTAGCTCTCTCGGCTATCGTCACTACTAATCCTTCTTACATAAATATTACACTTGCAGTTTTGATATAATGTTGTGATTTTATTTAATGTTCAACTGATTCTTTTTGACTTTTTTCGAGACAGTATGGTGAGAGATTTTAGAAGATGGTATTGACTAGATGCTTAAGAACATGTGTTGAACAGGGAGGGGTTAATCTTGTAAGACAGAGGAGAGTGTCAAAGAAGTTAATCGACCTCATGCCAGAAACACGATTCTTAACAGAAAACAGAAAGTTCAAATACTGAACCAATTATTAGTATGCATGATAAAAGATAACATCAAGTCATTGAAAACGTATCGGTTCAGACTTACCTTTTCCTGCTATACTTCTTATGTCTTGAAGAATCCAGAGCTCAGTCGCGTCCTCCTTGTGTATTTGTAGTCTTTGCAGCTTCTATGGCACAGATGTGACAGTCCTGCCCCCTCACCGTATTTATCTCCTTTCTCACTGCAACTCAGTAAGTAATTTAGTTATTTATAACAGAGCTGAGCCTCACAAGCATGACATAAAATACAATGTTTAAGATTAGAATTACCGTAATCTGTGCTCCTCTGCTGTTCAAACAAGAATCTGACCTAAAGCTGACAGTTGGCTTGCCCAACAGGAAAAGAATATGCAAAAAAATGGAATTCTTAGCATTACTGATGCAAGTCATCAGTAGGTTTTATTTACGTCAATCATGGGTCTTACAAATAGCTTTGAAACTCATTTGATGGTGCACATTTTTATGACTTTTCCTTGTAAACAATTTATTATAACAGGTTTCCCCCGTGCATTATACAATCATAAACATATCTCCCAGGTTCATATTCCGTTGATGGCACACACTTGGAGATCTGTAATTCCAGGAAATCGGAAATGAACTGGCATGATCAATAAATACTGACTGCTACACAGTGTGCTTAAATGTGGTGTCACATTTCAGAACACAACCTATTAGTAATCTGCACTCACACTAATGCACATCGCTATACATCTCCAGGTGAACATAATTCAATTTTTTAGACAGAGCATAAAAAATATATAAGGGCGGCTGATGAAGCGGGAAAAGTGTGCCAACCAAAAACATAAAATACATATTTAAAAAGTTTAACTCTGCTTTGCTATTTCAGTGCACCACCTTTTTTTTTTTAACAAAAGCATGGTCACTGCTTCTTAATAACTCCTCTCATCAGCTACTTTGCTAGTCTTATTCAAAGACAACTGAATCATTGATTGTCAACTATATAATGCGAGATAAATAGATTTTAAGTAGTCTAGAACTGAAAAAATTGATTGGCTTGATGATCTAAACGACGAAGGGTTTTGAAGAGCAGCCTATACCATGATGAATACTAAAATCTGAATGCAGATGGAAATAAGCATGACCCTAGTGGGCAGAAAAAGCTCTTAGTCAGAATAATTAAATGAAACCTAGATCATATTTTAGATGCTAGATTTTTACAAATAGCTGGCAAATGTTTTCTCTATAGTCAAAAACTGAATATCATCTTTGTTTTGATTCCCACAGGCTCTTGTTTCTGGGTGGCAGTTTTGCAAGGCCAAGTGGTGGGCATCGTGGCAGCGCAAGGTCGAGAGGACGACAACACCTTGGAACTCCGTCGCATGTCTGTGGACTCTCGCTTCCGTGGAAAAGGCATCGCCAAGGCCCTGGGTCGACGAGTTCTAGAATTTGCCATGTTAAACAACTTCTCAGCCGTGGTTCTGGGAACAACTGCAGTCAAGATGGCCGCCCACAAGCTGTACGAGTCTTTGGGTTTCCGGCGAGTGGGGGATACTGACGACCACACGCTGCCAGGAATGACCCGTTCACCGCTGGAGAGGCTCTTCTTCCAAATTCGCTATAGTCGGTACCGATTGCAGCTTCACGAAGAGTGAGAGACAGAGGGTTAACATGAGCGCAGAAGATAGAATATAAACGACAATGCCGGCAATGACCCTGAACCACCCACTGACCCGGTCCTCTTCTTCTACCTATTTATTTATATTTTTGTTTCGTTTTTAAAAAGTCATATCTATTCCTACAACCTTTATTTTGATTCGTTTTTATGCTCATTGTTTTTGAGGGGGTTTAGTGGGACATTTCATTTCTTTGACCACATTTGACGTTTCTGCTCTTAGACTTTCTTTTCATGGTCATCTTGCCCTGAAACACCATGAACAATTGAATAGCCACAAATGATTTTATCTTATTGGGATATAATGCGAATTTGTTCGCAATGACAGAGTCTCCCTTAAAACACATAAATCAACCAAGGCAGCTTAATTCTGCCTTTGACCTTTTTCCAATCCATCCTATAGGCCTATCCACAGAGTAGCACAGACCACTATAAACACAGGAAGCAGTGGATGTAGGAACTGGAGGGAAGGAGGCAGTAAAGATCAATCCACCTTGTCTGATGCCACGAAGTACGTTTGAACGTTGCAACAGCGGCAGTCTGGTGGAGTCAAAAAGTCCATCCAATTGTAACTTTTAGTCCAAAGCACAGCATTTTCAACTGTGTCTAACTGATGAACAAAAACAGCTAGAAATGTGGAATATTATAAAGCCAGTGATTTATATCCTTAAGCACCCCTTGTCTATATAATAGGTTACGATAACAACTTTGCAATAATCTTGATTTGTTTTGATGGTTAAGCAGGTTCCTAGTGCTGAGCCACAGTATCAACATTAAGAAATAACCAGAAAAACATGAGCGTCCATGTTAAAGAAAACTATAAAGAATTTTTTTTCTCTACACTTCATTTGGCTGACATTAAAGTTGTAGTCAGTGAAATTTTAATTCACTTGAAATCTGATTATTAGTGTACACACATTTCATATTCACATCTATTGGAGTCCCGATTTGATGAAGCTTAAATAATGACTTGATTAAACTTTGTGGATAATTTGGTTTGGTAAAAAATGCAAAATTGCTTAAACGCTGTCTGATATCGCTCCCCCAAAGCAAAGTCTAAAATACAAAAACAAAAAAACCCAAATGCGATCAGACTCCAAGTGTATTTGAATTAAACTTGGGTAGGCATAAAGGCAGCAATATGATGATAAACCTGAAATTAAACTAGGCACAAACCTAAATTTGGATAAATATATAAAAAAGGATTGTATAAGTATACAATATCTAAGGCTAATGTAAAATGTTTGAAAATATACGTATAAGGCATACTCATAATCTCTCTCCGTCTCTATCCTCCTATCACAGTACCAGCAGAGGGAGAGAGACAAACCACAAAAAGCCTCATCTGTGACAATGTTGTATAAAGTTAAGAAACTAAATGTGATTTAAAAATACATAGTAGTAACATGTAGTGCAAAAAACAACAACAAACATGATCATTGCCAGTTTTCCTTGACTTTAACCCCACCCCCATCCAAAAATCTAACTGCAACCCTGGGCCAGACCTCTCCCTCCTTTACACCCCCACCCCCCTCTCTCTGCATGCGCCACAGAGTCTTGTTGCACCGCCCTTTTTCCCCATTCTAGCTTGTACTATCTATCCCCATTCTTCTGTGATGTCACAGTAGCAGTGTGGAGAGTTGTGGGCATGGCTTAGAATGTGAGATGGGCGGGGTCAACCAAACAATAGGATTACCCACCAGCTTGCTGCTTCAATGACATCACAGCTGCCAATAGTAGAATGCAAGAGCAATGCAAGTATGTGGCATGCCTCTGTACCTGGTTTGTGCGTACGGTGCCTGCCCTGGAAAAGAAGTATATTTAAAAATATGTAAAACAAGCTTCTTCTTTTTTTAACTGAACATATAACAAATATGTGTTTCATTGTTCAAAGAAATTGTTGTTGCATGAAACGTCTTTGAATGAAAAATGAGCAAGAAAATACCATATTTAACACGGCAAGTCTTAAAAGTGGAGCCGTTTCTTTTTTTCGATGTAATTTTTGTTCATTCTAAAATTCCTGAGTTATTGCCATCTTTTAGGATATTGCGAGATGTTCTTTTTTTATCATTAAGAAGGCCTTGAAAATTATTTAACTGAATGCGCTGTTTTGATTACAGAGAAGTTACGTGACGCTTCTCACTTTACTTGAGGACATCCCTATTTTAGCCATGTGGTTTGAAATGAACAATTTCAAACAAGAAAGCAATTCTGTAGAGACAACTTTGCCAGTTGCGTGTGCCAGTCAAATTAGACATAGCATTCACCTGTCTCCCTTAAAATGGACTCATTGAATGGATATTCGAATGTACAAATATCCTTAAGAAGAAAGGTTAGGCTGATCAAATCTGTGATGGGATATTTAAACATGAATTCCTGTGTAAACCCAAAGCAAACAGGCTACAGATCACACTAACCTGATATCTTGTGAAACACTTGCCAAAATGATCAAACACAAATGTAATGCAGTATGAAAATATACAAGGAGCATGAAGTTCAATCCCACATTTAGAAATCAGTACCAGATCAACAGAAAAAAACACACAAATGATTAACCAGAGAGCTGGCAGATTTGAATGTACCCGGCAATCAGCAATGTATTATGTATTTTGAAGATCCAGATTTGAACAGTGATTGATGTAATTGAGGTATTTTGCTATGAGTGTTATTCTTCTGTAGAGCAACTGCCTTGAAAATCCTTAACTTATTATTCCGAATGCAGTTAGCATGGGATTGGGAATTTTATCTATAAGGTGCATGTATTGTTGCCAGATTGAAGAGAGCATTATTGTAATGCTAAAATTGCAAGCAAGTGCAAAAACACCATGATTGTGTGATTGCTTGTGTTTAACTAACATGTTGACCATTTCCTGATCATGCCGCTGGTTTTGCACATGCTAAAACGTTTGCACATGCTAATGGCTCAATTAAATTGGATTTATATATACAGTACGGTTAGTGTCCTATGTGGGTTTAGACTGGTGACTCGATTGGCTGGTGAATGTCTGTGAATGTGAAAGTTGGAGCAGGGCTCAAGATAGCGGCCAAGTTAAGTTACGCAAGAAAAAAGCTGGTGTTTTACCTAAGTCTCAAAAAAACAACACAGAAATAAAGTGCATTCTTATACATTAGTGTTAGAAAGAACAGTTGATGATAAGGCATTCAGATTGACCTTGGTAACCTGCATGAATAAGATGGCTGCTAAGAATGTTTCACTCAACAGAGGAGAAGGGAGTCAGAGAAGGTTCACGATGGTAGATGGTCTTGCTGCATCACTATCACCCTTCAGGTGAAGCATGGAACAAGCCAAGACACCAAAATGTGGAGCTGCTTCCTCCTCTTTTCATTTTTTTGGGTTGAAAGCACTCACTTATTGTGGCTTCAAGTGCCAAGGAGGTAGTGCCACTTGTAGTGCACAACTTTCTGATTTTTTTATGTTGATTTAAAAAAAAGAGAAGGGTTTGTCTCATGTGCTTATCTATGATTTACTACAATGTATCAACAGTATTTCTTAAAAAGTTACATTTGCCAAAGTTAAGATGTTTGCTGTATTTCCTTATTTTGCCATTTGTCTTTAAGATAAACTCATCTTTGTAGAATTCGTTTGAAAATCAAGCCTATGTGCCATTTTATAAAGCAATAATGCAAAGTATCACAGTTGGGAAAAAACAAACATAACAAGAACATGATCCATGAGATTATATAAATGTTCAAATGCTGCATTGATGTTCAATCCCTCATACTTTACTGGTGACAGTCGCTAAGATGTTATTAGTAATGGCACAGCAACATCACCATGGGCAAGCCAAGGCCTGACAAAGTGTGAATGTGAATTTTCTTTTTTGTATATTCTCATTTTTTTTATTTATATTTCCTTAATTCTAATTACAACTAACATGTTTACTTGCATCTTGAATTCTTTAGTTTATGGTTGATTTTTATGTTGTACTGATACGAAGCCCACAAAAATAAGCGAGAAACCTTTGTGACCGAGTGATGTCATGGGCCTCTGAAAGTTACGTCAAGCTCTGAACCACAATTGGTTGGTCTTAAAAATCCACTGTCTCCTGATTCACGAGGAGTGCAGTTTCCAACAATCTGTGACGGCAATCAACACCACACAGCCAGTTTTACAAGTGGCACAATACGCACAGGTTCATATTAACAAAGCTTTTTGATTTTTCTTGAAAACAATTAACTTTTTTATTAACATTTTAATATATGTAAAGCTGTAAAGTGTAATTTACTGTAAATAGCATTTGGGGACATTTTGTGATCGTTTTGTAACAGAAACTATATGAATATAATTAAGACGTTTACAAAACAACAACAACAACAACAAAAACAACAATACACTTTGGGAAACAACTGCAAACAGAGACAATTCTAACTATACAATCTGCTTACATTTGTGCCAGTCAGAGAAGCAAAAGCAACTTTCAGAGTCCCTGCATCCTCTTAGCACTTATTAGGGGCTCTTAGAAGCATTGCAAAGTGCTGGCAGGTTACTAATTATTTTAAATTATGGCTAATTTATGGGTAAATCACTTTGGAAATGTATGGCACTAAAACAATTTCTCAAGTTGGGAGTAACACATTTTTCTTTGCTTTAGAAATGCTCATGTTTACAGTTTCTGGTATGAGTTGACATTAGTTGCCCCATTTTGTCAGTGTGTTAAACACATTTCAGTCATTGGCTGCCTGTTACTATAGAAACAAGCCCATACAAAGCACAGCAGGGAAATGATATGCAGCCATACATGGGGCGGGTCAGTAGCAACAAAATGGGGCTGGTTTTAGTATGATAATGGGCAGAATGGAGTTTGGGGAAAGAAAAGGGAGGTTTTAGTTTTTCAGCATGGTAAATCTGACCTTGCTTTACCTGTTTGGTCGCAGTGATCACCTGGTTCTTTGAGTCTGAAATCATTGTACTGCCTGGGTTTCCTTTGGATTTTTTTTTAAACTGCTGTTTACGTTCCCACCTTTTCTCTTTTTCTTTCATTTCCTCGATACACAGGAACTTTGTAAAGATGTAAAGAAAAGTTTTCCTGATTTATGAAAGAAAAGGATGTACATACTGTATCAATTAAAGGAATGATGCATAAAGCTTGTGCACATGTGTCTGAAGTTGCATGCGTACACATGTACAAATGTACATTAAAAAATGACAAACTCTGGTTAAATAAGGGCAACATTAAATACCTCTTAAAGCAGTGGCTTTTGAAGGGACCTTTGATTTCAGCAATTTGCACACAAAAAAGCCATAAAACAGTTCATAGTCATAAGTTATAAGCAAGGATCAAAAAATTTGTGCAAAACAAGATCTCATTATTGACCCCCATTAAACATTCTAAAGGATCTTCTATGCCAATTCTCAGTGAGTACTGAGCATTAATTAATGATTTTGAGAAAGAACAAACAGATCGTGACCTAGCATGGTAAAATGTATCTACTCTCAGTGCCAGACCTTTAAGACAGGCTTTCAGTAATATGACATTCAGAGAGGGTAACTTATAGCCTTTAAAAACACAACAGCAACAAGCACAGAGACTGGAAAAATTTGCAAGGGTGTGTTTGTATTGATAGGGGGCATTACGAAGGGGCACAAGATCTGACGCCACAGACGGACACTGAAAATCTGGGTCAGTGTGTGTGTGTGTGTGTGTGTGGACTGTGTACACGTGAGAAAGGCCAGTGGGTGCTGCTAAACGAGTTGTGAGGTGCCGTGGAAACGGAAGAGATAAGATTAACAGGTTTAAAATGGAGTGAGCGAGACTCACTAAATGAGGGCTGAGTTTATTAATATTCATCAGGAGACAGACGTTCCATCATAGCAGCTGAGAAACAGATAGCATTGCCAGTAACACAGCTGAAATTAAGCCCGTTCTGGACAGAGGCTCATATTTATTTATTCACTGAATATGTGAGTTGACAGATATATTGAATATAAGATGCACAAACATTGAAAATGAACAAAAGATTTATTAGCTACTTCTATTCTCATGCAAAGAGATCTAAGCCTCTGAACAGAGAGAAGAACAGAATAACAGTGAAAGGCTAAAAATGAATGAAGGGAAGCCCCCCAAAATAGAAACTGGTACGATCCAGCCTGCTCCTACCGTTGCCCTCGGATACATCAGCGAGAAACAAGAATTGGGAACTGCAGCTGCTCGGTTACCATAGTAACGGGATGGCGAGGAAGAGCGGGAGACTCAGACAGAAGTAGCTGTAGTGGTGCAGGGGAGGTTCATTTCGCACATTGAGCCCCATGACCGTCCTGTGGACAGTGAGACTTTGAGGGGCACCTGAGAATAGAAAGAAATGAACTGCCATCACTAGATCCTCTATATCTTTTGACCTACATCTGCTGCATCGTTTAGTTTTATAGTAAATTAAAGCCAGGCTGTAGGATGGAAGGCCATCTGGAAATGTAATTCAGCTTAATTAGGTTACCAATCAAACGCTGTGACACAGCAAATCGCCTTTGTAGTGGACAAATCTGTTTGATAGTCTGTCTGATATGATTAAGGCTTCTATTAGAGCAATAAAATGCTTCTGAAGCAAACAAGGAAGACTCTGAATAGATCACAGCATGTTCTCTACATCCAGAAGCCCGTCTTCATACTAAGATAAATGATTGTCTTTTAAATAAAGCTGTGTGGATGTTCACTTACAGAGATATTCACTTCCAAATCTGCAATGTGCTGAAGAGATTCCATGGTCTTCTTCACCAGCACTGTTTACCAACATAAGATTCCCAATTTTTTAAATGGAAATCACTTTTTGTCTCTTAACTAATATTCTGGGTAAAATACTAGTTATGCTCTTTTGACACCATTTGCAGCTTAATGTCAATTACCACCATAGTTACTAGAGTTAACTAAAATTATTAAAACATTTTTTGTTAAACTAACTGATTGCGTTTCTGGGATCTAATAAAACTAACGAAAGCACATAATAAACTACAAATTTTATTTTAAAAAGCTAAATCAAATTATTATTAAAAACTATAATAGTATAGGAATAATGTTAAAATAAGACTGATTACCTCAGAAAATAATTCAGAGATAATTTACTCAGAACTAGTTGAAATTAACTTGTATTTCACCCAGAATATTCCTTTCATGTTCATATAACAGGACATGTGAGGTTTCCCTCACCAGCAAACTGTTCCAATTGTGAGATCTCCACTTCAAACAGCAGCTCATCGTGGATTTGAGCTACCAGCCTAAAAAGATCAAGACACACAGAAACTAGAACACAACAATCAATCTTAACGTGGGGATATAATGACCAGACCATGACCACTAAACCATGATGCGTTTAGTTTCTGGAATGTGACGCCAATATTACATTAAAAGGTTCAGTAATCTTATTGCTCTACATTGGTCTGGATGCCATCTACTGCAGACATATCTCCTAATACTCACTGAGAGGAATCGAAAGAGACTTGGAGGGAGGGGTGAGGAGATAGAATGAAGAGGGAGGGATAGAGAGATGCTAACAAAGATAAATGACTGTAATATAGAGCTGCACTGCAAGTTGAGTGATTCACACAGAGACAGGCTAAGAGAGAAAGATAAAGAATATCAAGGGATATGCAGAAAGAGAAAGTAAAGATATCTGTGGAGAAGAAATAATAAAAAAATATATAATTTATAAACTTGTCATTTTAAAAATGTATTAGCAAGTCTAAATTAGCATAAACCTAGACTAATAAATGCTGCAAAAGTACTGTTCATTGTTAGTGAATGATGCCTAACGCATTTAAAGGTCCCGTTCTTCGCGATTCCATTTTTCAAACTTTAGTTAGTGTGTAATGTTGCTGTTAGAGCATAAATACCTGTAAAATTATAAAGCTCAAAGTTCAATTCCTAGCGAGATATTTTATTTAACAGAAGTCCCCTTTCAAAGCATACAGCGAACGGCCGGTTTGGACTACATCCCTCTACTTCCTTTTTTAATGACGTAACTAGAACAGTTTTTTGACAAATCTCCGCCCACAGGAATACACAAAAAAAGGGGGCGTGGTCTTGTTGCGCTCCCACGGAGAAGAAGCACTCCAGCAGCGCGTGCATCTCCAATTTATGGTAAGAGGCGTGATAAGCTGCTGTCAAATCACAACACAGGAACCGCTGGCACAATCAGAACTCGTTACGTATTTCTGAAGGAGGGACTTCATAGAACAAGGAAGTCATCGGGCCGTTTTTTGGACAGTGAAAACAGTGGTATACAGATAAGTAAATTGTGTGAAAAACACTGTTTTTTTACACGCGAAACATGAACACATGTTATATTGCACACTGTAAACACAATCAAAGCTTCAAAAAAACATGAAGAACGGGACCTTTAAGAGATAGTTCACAAAAAAAGAGAAAATTCTGCCATTATTGACATCTTCATGTCTTTCTAAACCTGTATGACTAACTTTCTTCTGTGGAAGATAAAAGAAACAGCATTTCTCAGTGTTTACTCATTCACACAACGGAGGTCAGTGGTCACCAAAGCAGTTTGGTTACCAACATTCTTCAAAGTATCTTCTTTTATGTTCCACAGAAGAGAGTCATACAGGTCTGGAACAACATGATGGTGAGTAATTGATGGCAGTTTTTAGAGGGAACAATTCCTTTAACTAATTGAACCTCAATGTAAAATGTTACCACATTTCCCAAATACAAAATGTAGTATTAAGATACACATGGGATTATAAGAGAGGGAGTGGAAAACTGGATGGATGTACCTGGCAGTGTAAGAGGCAGAAGACACTTGAGAGCAGATTTTGATCATGGCCATTTTGGCTAGGTCTGCAGCTGAGCCTGAAGGGTCAAACACAGTCATTGTGACAATCACAAATGCCACACACATTACAAACACAAGTAGAGAAACACAATACCCTGTAGTACAAAGTTGACGGCCTGTCTCTCTGCTTGGTTTCGAAGGCTCCAGTCAGCAGAGTGAATGTGAGGGAGGGAACGGCGCCTTCCCATTATGGACTTCACAAATCCTAAGGCATCAATAAGAAAGAACATACACAGCAACTTATACACACTTTCAACCTTATTATACTCAGTCACTCATTCACACACAGACTCTTTACGAATCACTCATGCCAGTGCATTCCGGGGTAAGGCAGACAATAGGTCAAGCTTTAAACATAAACCCCTGATGGAAAAGAGTGAGGTCAGCTGGTGGACTCATTTGGAAAATCTTTTTCCCAGAAGCACAGAGACGCCAGGAGTTATGGGACACAAAGAGACACCACTGCATGTATATGTGTAACAGTGTTCAGGAATGTGTGTGGCTCAGTGTGGGCGCATCATATGTACTGACAACACTAATGACACATCACTGGAATGTGTTGCTCTGCTATTGAGGATTATGAGCACGTGTGTTGTTTCTGTGTGTTTTGTCAAATGTGAAATGTTTGTCTGGCGTATCCTCATCGAAGTGTATGACAGTAAGTCATCACCCGTGCATGTCACATTTCAAAGTTTGTGTACTGAAATAACATACAGTGGCCACATTTATTTGGACACTTTAAGGGATAGTTCACCCCCCCCCCCAAAAATTGTCAAAATGTACTCACCCCCTCATAATTCCAAACCTGTTTGACTTCTCTCTACATAACACAAACGACAATATTTTGAAGAATTGAACAATTTTATCCATACAAAGAAAATTCAGTGGGGTCCAAAATAACAAACATTTTTTATTATATGGCCAAAAAAATATATAAAATAATATTAAAAATAAATAAAATATTTCAGGTTCCACAGAAGTCAGTCAGTCGCAGGGTTGGAAAGACGCAAGTTTCACCAGAACTTTCATTATTGAGTGAACTATCCCTGGGATACTCCACCCAAAAATGAAAATTCTGTCATCATTTACTCACCCTCAAGTTGTTGCAAACCTGTATGAGTTTCTTTCGTCTGCTGAACAAAAAGGAAGATATTTTGAAGAACTTTGGCACCATTGACTTCCATAGTATTTTTTTTTTCTTACTATGGAAGTCAATGGTGCCAAACAACTGTTTGGTTCCAATCGTTCTTCAAAATATCTTCCTTTGTGTACAGCAGAAGAAAGAAACTCATACAGGTTTGCAACAACTTGAGGGGGAGTAAATGATGACTGAATTTTCATTTATGGGTGGAGTATCCCTTTAAGACACTTCATTTTATTTCATTGCATTACATAAAATATAAAACCAATATACAATAAAACCATATTTGCAGTTTTAACCAACTGTGACCATTTCAGAGGATGTATGACATCAACTACCCTCAAATTCAGGCAGGCGTCCTAGCAGGTCAGATTAACTACCATACTATTTGACAAGCTTTTTGTAAGTTATTGCATCATAAGTGAGTTTGTTTTATATTTCTTTGAAAATTTTGTTCATGAAATGACACGCATACATTTTTGTGTAGCTTAAAGGGACAGTCCGCCCAAAATGAAAATTCTGTCATCGTACGAGACACAAAAAAAGATATTTTGAATAATGTTGGTAACCAAACTATTTTGGTGACCACTGACTTCCATCATATGGACAACATTTTTTTTGGTAATTCCTCAAAACATCTTCTTTAATAGTTTCACATAAGTAAGATATAGTTTGGAACAACATGGGTGTGAGTAAATGATGAGATCATAATTTTTGGATGAACTATCCCATTAAGTTACCAAATACCTTTTGGAGTCACTGTAGTTCAGGCCCTCCATCAGGCCCTCCATCAGCAGGTAATAAGTCATTCTACTTTTCACCTTTGAGAAAGATCCTGTATCAGTCTGGTCTCTTTCACATTAAACTACATAAAATCAACTCTCCAAATAAAAAGACAGCACATAAAAGTCTAGCTGAACAGAAGATTAGACACTATAAGACTCCTACTGGAACACCCTGTTCTAGAACAGATTACTGAGAGAGAAAGCTCAGGTTTTAAAGCCCTTCTCAATTTCATTTTCTTGAATATCTTTCCTCCCTCTCAAAACCTGATAAATTTCAAAGCAAAATGATAGCAGGTGTTTTGTTGCTGTGCAGGCATGTCAATACCTCCAGTATTGATCGTGTAATGAGCACACTGGCTGGAACTTGCAGTCCTGAGCCTTCAGTTTCACATTCTGAGGTGCCTGTTTGATGAGTAACTCTGAACACTTCACTCATTTTATAACCTATATGTAAATTTTCAGAATGCACTAAACGAGATCATCAGCTATTAGAACAGGAACACTGACAATAAATATATATATTTTTGGATTGATTCTGACTGATTTTCTGATTGAATACAATAAAATACAGTGAAACCTATGAAATGTTTGATAGCAAAGGTCAAAGTCTCAGTAATTTTTCATTGGTAAGAGGGAATGCTTTCTCTCTTAGTTCCCATAATCATGTGTCTCCTTTAAATTTCAGCTGACATGGAGAAGATTTCTTTCAAGGACAATAATTTTCCACTCCATTGCCAGTTAAAAGATACCCATTGGTTGTTACTACTGACCGGTTTATATAAAGTAAACACAAAGCACTGTACATCACAGTAGTAAGATAACTCTATTTATCAGACTCAATCTGATAATGCCTGACGAAGATGTAGCTTCAAATCTAACACTGTTTTTCTCTTCCCAAACTTATATATGCCATTACTATAGCATACTTTTCATTATTTGTTAGCTTTTAATCATTCATACTTTATTATTATATTACCGGTAGCTTACTTCTACTTAACTGCCTTGCATTTTTCTCTATTCTGCATTGTCATACAATGTATTATCATTTCTCATGCCAATACAGCACACCAAACTAAATTTAAATTTCAAATTTGATAATAATAGTAAATATAGCCAGTAACCTGCCTGCTGGATCTGCACTGAGGAGAATGTAAAGAATATAAATGGCAGCAGCAAATGTAACTGTGAGACGCAGTAAGAGAAGTGAAAGAATGAGTGTGAGCGACTGTGTGAAGTTCACACAGTGGTATAAAAACCATGATGTGTGTAATATCAGTAAGAGTGTGTCCTAACGGCAGCTCTAAACACAGTGAGTTTTGTAAGTGAGCGTTAGCTGCTGTGCTGCTCTGCCTAGTTTCTACTCTCCGTTTATCACACACACCGTGTTCGTGGCAGTGCTGGATGATGTGCTGAATGAAGGCCGGCACCTCTCTGTACGTCTGTAGGAAAGAGTCCTGAAAACGGCTGGCCTCCTCTGCACTCACACCCAGAATACTAGATAACCGCTCTCTTCCTGTGTGTGATGGTGTGTGCGAGAAAGAGGGAGAGAGAGAGTCAGTGGACAACAGCATTAGAACAGAAATATTCCAAGCTTAAAACAGTTCAAGGTGAGACAAAAAAAGACAAAAGGAGGTGAGGCACAGAATTATTGGTGAGAAAAAGGCTAAACCCATTCTCCCAATGTTGCTATGGCAACAACTACCATGACAAGAAATGAGACAAAAACATGAGAGCACTAAGTTTGACCACTAACTATAACTTCTGATATTGTGTAATATGTGATATAACATGTACACTGCAGTTCAAAAGTTTGGGGTCATTAAGATTTTATTTTATTTTTTAAATAAATGAATACTTTTATTTAGCAAGGACACGGTATATTGAAAAGAAAAAAGACATTTATAGTATTACAAAATATTTCTATTTCAAATAAATTGTTCTTTTAAACTTTCTATTCATCAAAGAATCCTGAAAGAATGTATCACTGTTTCCACAAAAATATTAAGCAGCCGACCGTTTTCGAGCACCAAATCATCATATCAGAATAATTTCTGAAGGATCATGTGACACTGAATGATGCAGAAAATTCAGCTTTGTCATCACAGTACTAAATTAATTTTCTAAATATATTAAAACAGACAAGTTATTTACAATTTTATTAATATTTTACAATATGGCTGTTTTTTCCTCTGTTTTTAATCAAATAAATGCAGCATTGGGGAGCAAAATTGACTTCCAAAAACAAACAAAAATCTTACTGACCCGAAACTTTTGAACAGCAGTGCTAAGTCTATGAGCTTTTTTTTTTTACCCCATTTTATTATCCATCAGGCAAAAATTCTAACTAGCCGCATGACATGCGACTTGCTTTACGCAAAGTGACCTGTTGAATAACATAGGACAGAGTTCATATACAAGCGAGACTCAGGCTAATTTTCATCTGACCTTCTGTCTGCCTGTAATTGAGATTATTTATAGACAGAGACAGAGTGAATATATCAAGCATGTGAGCAGGGAGATGAAGATGGCAAGAAGTACGCAGAAGTGATGAAGAGTGTGTGTCTGCATTCTCACTGGTTGAGATCATTTGCTCTCTGGTGCTGCTCCTTTTGCCTAATTACTCCAACCTCTCCACCTCTAAATCATCCTTCTCTCTGGGATACTCAATAGTTAGTCTCTTATAGTCTGACCCAATTGTGTGTGTGTGTGTTTCCACCCCATCCCCCACACCTATGAGTGTGTGTTTGTTTTTGATTATCTCCCATGCTACACCTCCTTTTAGTATTCTGTAACCATGGCAATCCATCGCTTTCTGCAAGATTATCAACATATGCTAACACTGTGGTGCTCCCACCCCTCTTCTCTTACTCACTTTCTACCAGCACTCAGTCACACAATATTGCCTTCCTCATGCTGTCTCTATTTCTCAGTTTTCCTGAGATGACAGTATGGTAGAAATGAACATGTTTCGCTCTGTCGCATCAAGCTTTGTGTCTTTGTAAGAGTGCAATAAATGTCTTATTCAGCAACTTAACGCTCACAAACACTTAAGTGAGCCACTTGTGAGATGCTGGACTGAAAAATATAAATGAGAGAAAAATAGCAGATAGGTTCAAGCTGACCCAGTTAAAGTAAAGTAGAACAGTGACACCCTCCTTCAGTCCCTCTCTCTCCTCCACACACACATAATAAGATTCTTCTCAGGTTGTAGTCATGGAAGCCAGATTCTGGGAGATCTCTGCTAGCAACCACTATGAACAATAAGCTCTCTGCACTTGACTTATAGAGCAAAGCCCTGCAGTCTGGGTCACAACTTTTCTCTACATTTTTATCTATCCGTATAAATGTCTCTCTCTTTCATTTAAAAAAATAAATGTATGTATCTCTGCTTTGCCTATGCCACAATCATTCCTGTCAGGATGCTATTCAAATACAGATAAGTATTTTTGTGTTTTATTCCAACTTGGGACTGTGCATGTTCTTTTAGTGCTGTCGGGGTGTTTTCTTGCAGCTCAACGGTAATTAGTAACATGGTATTTACAGCTCAAGGGAGTCGCCATGAGCAAAGATGGTAGCACGCAGGACTTCACAATACTGCTTGCAACAGCCACTGGAGAGAAGGTTGTGTGGTCAAAGTTAGCAGAAAAACAAATTGCTTACAGCACTTTTTAAGGCTAGAGTTGCAATGTAAAATAAATGATGAATATTGAAATGTTCTGTTATTTCTCTAGAGATTGATGGGACGGCGTGCATGCATTATGGGTAACAGTTCTCACCAGCTCCATAAACCACAGAGTAGACGATACGCTTGGCATGCTCTCTGTCCTCCAAACTCACTGTGTCCTCGCTCACACCCTTCCTAAAGACAGAGACATAGACATTTATGTAATGAAAGTGCCAGCAGTGCTGGTATGCTGGAGGCATCAGTGTTTGTGACAGGGAATCAGAGGCTGCCAGCAGATGTCTTACTGCATTAGAGCAGCGGCTAGTGTTGAGCCAGCACTTAGACTTTATAATATCAAAATCTTGGCTCTTTGTGGTAAGCAACACACAAACATAAAAGAAGGAACATGCTAACAGAAATACTGGGACGATCTGGGGTCATTAGAAAGTAAGTTACAGAGTGGGGGCACGAATCCATCCTCACACACACACACATACTGGGCTCATGTCAGCAATCACATCACACTTTGTCTTGACAGGCCTGTCTCCGTGTGCTATGGTAACTGTGGAGATGTGAGCATCAGAATGATCGGCTCTCATCTCTCTCGATTGCCTCTCTGTTTTGCTCTCTGTCTGGTTCACTGCACACAGCCGCAGGGTGAAAAACACAGACTGGTACTGCAGGACTCTTTGCCCTCTTCACAGCCTGTTTACCCTTCATGTGTGTGACGACAATTGGAACATCTAGGATTCTTTAAACACTTTTTACTTTACTCTCTGGGACTAATATCTTTTAATTTGTTAGCATCAACACAAGTCAAGACAATTACCTAGCACTTTCATTAAAATATAAAAGACATCAGTATAATATAGATTGCTTCAAAACAGTAATATTGTAAAATATTATTACAGTTTAAAATACAATGGGTTTCTATTTTAATATTTTAAAATGTTATTTATACCTGTGATGGCAAAGCTGAATTTTCAGCAGCCATTACTCCAGTTTTCACTGTCACATGATCCATCAGATTTGGTGCTTAAGAAACATTTCTTATAATTACCGTCAATGCTGAAAACTGCTTAATATTTATGTGTACGCATTTGATGTTGATAATTTTTTTCAGGATTCTGTGATAGTTCTTAATTAAAAGTATTCATTTTTCTTACTGACCCCAAACATTTTAGTGTATATGTGTCTCTAAAAACAAATATGTACAGATCAAAATGAGAGAAATAAAAGCAGATATGTGTTCTGTATAAGTGTTGGGATGGTGACAGTCATACTGTGTGTATATGGTGTGACACTCTTATGATGTGTGTACCCACCATTGGGCCGCCAGCATAGTGAATGCGTCTGCCTCAGGGTTCTGAAAGATTCTCAGTAACTGTGGGTCAGCTGACAGGTGAGCCAAGAGACGCAACTCCACCTGACAGAAATCTAAAAACACAGAGACAGATGTCATAATGACCTCCAAATTTAATCTTCAACCACACAACATTTTTTATAACTCTCCTTCCTAATAACAAGATAAAGTGGGAGAAGTTAGCAGTGAATGGTGTATGTTGGCATCTCTCCCATCAGTGTCAGTAGGAACAGTAATGCACCTATCAGCTTCTCCGTCAGATAAAAGAGAATATGAGAGAGGATAAATAAGGATAAGTTAAGGGAGGATAAAGAATGTGAGAGTGAGAGAGAGAGAGAGAGAGAGAGAGAGAGAGAGAGAGAGAGAGAGAGAGAGAGAGAGAGAGAGAGAGAGAGAGAGAGAGAGAGAAGAGAGAGAGAGAGAGAGAGAGAGAGAGAGAGAGAGAGAGTGTGTGTGTGTGTGTGTGTTTATACTGAAGTGACTGCCAGAGCAGCACTGACTCACGTTCATGCACACCAACACAGTGCCATATCCTGTTTTTGGACTATTAAACTATGTGCCGTGTATTAGTGTTTGGTTATGTTGAATTTAAACGTCATTTGAGAGTATGCTGAGCTTTATTTACTAAGGTAAAAAGGGTGAGAGATAGATTCTGTAACAACAATTTTTGGGAAGGAGGGAGAAGTGGCTCATCTTTGGCAGAAGCAGCAGCTCAAGTGAAAGTTAATCTGATCTAAATTGTCCATCAACTGAGCGGTCGAATGGACAATGAAGATTGAGCTCTGCAGTTTGGATGCATTTCATTTCTAAAAATGAAGACAAATCAATTTGTTTATGTGTTTCCCCATGTACAATAACAGAACATTAATGGATAATGAATAAATGAACAGTGTCAATCTAATTATGAAAGAGCAGCATGTGGCCAAGCCGGGGGACACTGTCAGTCAAAGAGCCAGTGAAGATTATCTGTCATTTCCTCTGCTATTGATACATGACAGAGTCAAATGGCATGACAATGTCAGCTCATATTCCATAGTCCTTTCTTTATAAATTGAGTCTAATAAAGCCTCATTAATTAAACCTGAAATCCTGACTAACCAGGCTTGAGGCAGTATGTGTATCTTTTGTCTTTTGATGGAAAGAACAATAAAGTGAATATTATGAAATTAAATGAGTTTAGACTTCAACCATTGAGACATTTGAAGAGAGTTTTAATTAAGCTAAATAAGACAACATTAATCATTTAAGATAGTTTGATGCTTCAATGAGGACCAGATGGCAACTTTGGAAAAAACTACATTAAACTTTGTCCTAAATGAGCTTCTTTAAATGAGCCACAGTCAATCTTTTCCAGTAGTAAAGACCATGGAACAAACTGGAATTCAGAAGAAAATGTGAGTGGAGCTTGCCTGTGCAAAACTTTCCATCATGATGGCAAGGTTGTGTTAAGATCAGCGACATTTTGTGAACAAAATTTTGTAATTTCAATAGGAATTTCAATTGTGTGATGGCAGAAGTTCCCATTGGACGTTCCCATTGGTCACGCTTGAAGCTGCTTCATGCATTGCTACACTATTGACAATGTACCATTCTCTGCCCACAAAATGTATAAAAAATTTTGCTAATGTGACTCCACCTTGGAGATGTTCTGGGTCTCAGGTGTCTATGATATTCTGGTCCCTAGCTAGCTGTTGTTTTTATACATGCTGTATGTTTTTCGCCATATTGACTGGAAAATCAATGGCACACTCTTAGACAAGTTGTGCGAGATGAGTTATGTGCTATGGTTTAAAAATTAGTTGTTTTGAAGAGCCCTAACCTAAAGTATGAGCAAAAGTCATCACTATTAGCAAACACCAATATTCATAGCTTTCTTATGTCCTTTCCTTTTAGTGCCTGATGTTGTCTATGGTCCAAAGCTAAATATCTAGGCATAAGAGCAAATTCCCTTTACTCGGATGCAGCTAAATTAAGATCTATTAGGTAACATATTGAAGAGCAGTGGCTCTGTTAAGACGAGTCTGGTCTTAATGCAAAAATAGTCACACATTGATTTATAAATTAAAAGGTGGCCTAAACATAGACATACAAAATCAATGACTTCATAAGCAGTGTCAGATACCAGATAGATGAGTTTCCCTGTTCACACAGATGCAAGCTCCCTGTATGATTGATTTGACAAGACATGCAATTGATCTGGTCTGAGCTAAACAGAAATCCCCCCAAAACAGTTATTTTGGTATAGTATAGCTATTATAGTATAGTATATAAATAGTAATATTTATATACTATTTATTTATTAATTAAAATAGCTTTTATATTTTTATTTTAGCTTTATTTAAATTGGAGTAATTTTGATTTTGTTTGTCATTTTATGTTATTGTTTTATCAATATTTAGCTTTAATTTATTTTTATTTCAGTATTAGTTTTAGTAATTTTAGCACTTCAACATCACAGCACTTCAAACTTATTTTATTTCATTACTTGCCAAGGCAACATTTCTAATTTTAGTAGTTTTAAAATAAAAGCACTGAATACAACCAACAAATATATGAATATATAAAAAGTCTAAGCTACCCTTTGTTTCTATATTATACAAGCTCAAATATAATAATTAAACAAATGTAAAAATATTCCAGACAGTTAAGCTTTGGTTCTTATATGGGAGATTCAGATTTGAATCCATCCTCTCTTCTTTATCTCACCAATACTTTTCTATCTCCTCTCACTACTGTCTTCATGCTAAAAAAAACCCTGGAAAAAAAGCCACCTCAAAAATGCTGTGGCTCTATCTAGTTTGTTGTTTGATGCACCTCTCTCCTCGGTAAGCGGAAAGAGGGCTTCCAGTAAAACATATTTATTGAAAGGTGGTATTGACTGATGGAACAGTTAAGAAAAAGGTTGCAAGCCTTTTTGAAAATGATGGTTTTAGTTGAAAAGTACCTGAAAGGATAAAGTGAAGTATTATTATCTGATCTGAAGGCTCAGCGGAGAGTTCAGGAGAGATGCAGGGGATAAAATAGAGGGAGTTCATTCTGTTCTAAAGAGGCCACCAGACAAGGGGGGAACGAGGGATGACTTTGTCCTCATTCTAGCCTCTCTGTTCTCCTTCTGGAAACAGCCGGACACATTGTACGATTGGATGTGACAAGGCCACCACAGGGACAGGAACTCACACTGCTACTGAACCTGCCCCCGCGCAAACACACACACACACACAGCAGGTCAGCAAACATATAAAATGAATGAGTCCTCCTGAGGCTTAAAAATATCAAAGAGACAAACGGCAATTAAGTGATCTCACATCACTCCCCTGTGTCCTCATACACACAGAGTTTAAGGGGTTTGTATAACTTTGTTGTCCGGCCAAAAGACGAGATTGTGGGCCAGAACAGGCTGTTTCAAAGGTTGTGAGTAGGCTATTGCCATGGGGTCTGAAGGCTGGCCTCTTCTACTGCAGGTTACGCTGTCCTTGCCATGACACAGTTATGTAACAACACACTGAGACACCTCACACACACTCAGTGCTGTCAGAACAAACAAACACATACCCAGACGTACAAGTACTTATCCTAAAAACACCATTATTGCTGTGCACATCACAGCACAAATCTTTACAAACTAAATAAAACATCAACAAGAGGTTTCGGAAAGAGAGGTTTGGCTTTTCAGAGACACTCACCTGCAGAGAGGAAAGTCCAACCCTCTCGTGGAATGAACATGGCACGTGGGTGCACAGTCACTACATCAGAGTTCTTTCCTATACACACAACAATAGCAATAAAATCACACATAAACACATAATAGAAATGAGTCAGACTTCTTAACACAATATATGATATTGTATAACAGTATTTATGTTTAAAACCTTGTGACTGAAACATTATAAATACAATTTAAGCTCTAAAATCACAAAGCATTGTCATCAGGGATGCTTGATATAGTACACGCATAGTTATTAGGTGATATAATTTCTCTTAGATTTACATTTAGATTACTTTTTTCCATCATCTAAAGCGGACAACGTTAATGATTAAAAACAACACTAACTGAATAACATTGTTTTTAGCAAATCCCCAAATTAATATCTTGTTTTCATACTGTGCATTATAATGCTGTGGCATCTAAATGTACTTGTAGCATTTAAAATGACTGATTTTAGTTTTTAGTGTTTTTAATTTACTTAAAGCTGTTTTTCCTCTTAGTTTTTCCTCTTTGTCGCCTTCTCTGTTCGAAATCTGCAATTGCAGTTATTCGCGGAATTATCGACTTTACGTGGGTTGTGCCTCAGCTCGGCACGGATGAATCCATTGTTTTGAGGAGAATGTTCGGCTGTCAGTCACCGCGCCGGTGTGGAGACTGTCATTCGGAATCACAGATTCTACTTTTTGGAAGTATGAACAACATAAGAATTTTCACCAGAAAATGTCATCTGAAGTAAGTAACATCCACTTTTGTTCTATACAACTAAGGGAAAAAAAGCATTGCAGTAAATCGCACTAATTAAATCTAACGATCGCTTATCATATCACGTCAAACCGTGAAAATTATACTTTGTTCTCAAATTGTTAATGTTAACAACATCAGCAGTGCTTGACTACATTTAATGCCCTTCCGATATTTATCCATGTTTTCGCATGGGTCCAGTTGCAGTCTCCTTTTTTCTGTAGCCACTCCGAAGTCTGCATTTTACAATGGGTGAATCTCCAGTTGTCACTGGTGATTGTCGTTTGAACTTTTCTGGATCCATCAAACTGATAAGTTTAATTATATCAAGTGCTGTGAGAAAAGGCTATAAATCTCCACCTCCAACATCCTCACACGCAATATAGCCTACTAGCTGAGACTCTTCTTTATGTGTACAGATGTGACGTAATGACGCAAAGACATGCTTGAATTTCCCACGGAAATCCACCAGTACCACTGGAATTAAAAACATTATTACAAGCTTACTGTTTTGAATCGAGCTAAGGCAAGCAGAGTTTTGAACACTGGTCCTGTACTTGCTCAATTTATTTTGGATAATTCTTAACCCAAAAAAGTTACGGACTGCAGCTTTAAGAAAGAATTTTAATATAATATCCGCCATTTATCAGAGTCACAGATGAGGTCTATTTAGAGGACACGAAGAGAGAAAAGCAGTGCAGACGAAGGTGAAAGTGCTAAAAAGGAGAAGTGAGGAGCAAGAGAAAGGTGAATGAAGCTCTATGTATATGCTTTTACAGTATATATGTAAAAGAGCATGTTAATGGCAACAACCAGCCTGACAGAGAAAAGAAAGGGAGTTTGGTAAAATATGATATGTAAAGGGGTTATGTGGGTTGTATATCAGAAATCAGAGAAAGCTTTATTGCCAAGTGTGCTTGTACACACAAGGGATAATTTACCTTGGCATTGAAGCTTCCAGTACACAAATATAAATATAACAAGACACATGACATTTAAGAATAACACATTTTAAAAAGTATAAAGACGCAGATAGGTTTAGTCAGAATAAACAAATACAGATAATTAACATAAATTTACAGTATTGTGAATAATATGAATAGGATTAAATTAATTTACAAAGATATTGCACAAAAAAGTGGGGTATTGCACTTTTACATACGTAAAACATTTAACTGTTCAAGAGGGAAATAGTCTGTGGCACGAAACTTTTCCTGTGCTTAGATGTTCTAGTGCCTAGTGATCTGAGGCACCATTTTGGACGGAAACAGTTCAAATAGGTTGTGGCCGGGGGGAGTGGAGTCTGTGATGAAATGATGAAAACTCAGTATGTATTTACGTATACTCAGCATGCATGTGTGTGTATAACCTAAAGAAAGCTCTATATAGGCATATATTTGTATTTGAAATAGGAGCATAATATTAATTTTTGTTTTTGCATTCATACTCTATCAACAGAAGACCCTTTCTCTTACTAAAGCCTAGTGTAGACCCTAATTGGGGTTTTTTAAGTGACAACTGTCAACACTGCCAAAAAAAAAAAGTAGTGAATCAGTTGAAATTAGATTTAGATGCCCAAATTTGACTCCAGATCAAGACCATTACAGATATACAGCTATAGACACCAGTCTTCAGTGTCTGACATCCTTCAGATATTATTTAAAATGCTTTAATGTGGTGCTCAAACATTTCTTATTGTTATCAATGCTGAAAACAGTTGTTCTGCTTAATATTTTTGTGGAAACCATGGATTATTTCATGAATAGAAAGTCCAAAAGAATAGCATCCATTTAAAATATATATTTTTTGTAAAAAAATGTAAACGGGCACACGAATGTGAGTTTCTAATTACACACATACTTTACCTTGGATGCACTGTTTCTTAGTGATCTGCAGTGGCTGCTTCGGAAGAGCTTGAAAATTCTACAGGAGGAGGAAAGAACCAGTTATTATTCATTTGAAAGCGTCTGATTCAGTCACCCTGAAAAGCACATCACAGCGCCTCTCACATCCAATACCACAACACAAAGAGTAGGTTAAATTTAGCCCTGGCTTTAACAAATATGCAGACTTCACAGTGCTTACAAAATGCCAAACGGGGCTGCTATGGCACGATGCAGCGGTGTCTTTCCAATCAGTAAATGAATGAGATCCGTCTCTTACTGGGGTTTTAAATTAATTTCAAACTGTCCCTGGGAAGGAGTGTTAAATATGCTTTGCCCTCTATCAGTCTACTGAGGGATAAAAGACACTAATGAGATGAAGAGAATAAAGTATTAATCTGGTAAAGTCATGATAGCTTTTTGAACATGAGATCTAAACTGTTTGGCTGACAGACGGTATGCTGTCTCTGGATCTGAAACAGACCCCTGGGCTTATGATCTTAAAGCAGAAGGGTGGCATGAGTAGTCGGTAGTATAACCATCATTAGTTCTACTTTTCCTCATCTTTAAAGAACAAATTAATCTCTCAGGATCTAGGAAAAGAGCTGCTCAGCACTCATGTGTTTGCGTGTGAGACAGAGACAATGATGCACAGAGAAAGAACATGCCAAAGGGAAATGATGGGATGCCCAAATGTGTGTGAGAGTCTGCAGGTAAAAGGTTTGCATCTGTTTTTTTCTGAATGAAAGGCGAGTGCTGGTGGGAAGGTCCGTTCTTCTCTACTCCCAGTGCTTTATTTCAGCGGTAAATCTACAAACGCTGAGAGGGAAGAGATATACAGCTTCAATGCCAGTCACACACACTCTCCCATTTTCTCATACAAACACAAAACGGCTCCCTCTCAGTTTAACCGTGCCTTGAATTTGAAGTATTTGCATTACTGAAAGACATTCAAAATTCTTCCTGCATCAAACATCTTAAAATATCTGTGCTGATCAATTGATTGTCTTTATTCTGAATGTAAAATGTGAACAGGAACATAGTGCTAGATCAGCATTCTTACCCTCACATGATTGACTGCCCCATGCCTACATCTCTATTAGAACTGCAGTATTTGTGATACGATCCCATCCTAAGATCAGCATTGTGCTGCGGCTTTTAGCATGTGTGTAGGAATGATATGAGCTGATCTCAGGTTATTGTGTGCAGTAAATCTGTTTTCTGGGTGTGATAGATGCTGGTAGTCTGTGAGAGAGGAAGAGCTTTTAATAGCAGCTGAGGCTCTCTGCTTCTATTTGAGTAGCTCTATTGATCGACAGTAATATAATACATATAGAAGGTAGATAGAGAGAGGTATAGAGAGTCTCTGCACACGTGAGACAGAAAGGGGGAGAGATCATTCCTTTCTTTCTTATAATTATTAGTAATATTACTACTACATGGCTCTCTGGAATACCTGATTTTAAGTGGACAACTAGCATTACAGAGTCAAATTCTTTTGTATGAAGATTAATAATTAACCAATCAATTCAATATTTTTGTCCATTTATTTATTTATTTATTTGGTATGTAGCCAATGCCATTTAATAAGATGGATAATCATGGTCAATCGGTCATTTGCATAAAATAAAACAATGTTATGAGTGTGAGACTGAACTTTATCTACTGTATACAAATCTATTTGTTATTTTCAATTATTAGGTTTTATTCCTCATTTATTCGTGACAATTCAGTATAACTATAGTCTGAACATAGACACTAAAACATTGACAAACACTGATTGGATGCATAAACTCAAAGATTGGGAGAAAAAGAGAAACAGAACGAGCAAAACAAGACAGAGATGGAGGAAAGCGCAGAGGAGGGAGCAGTGGTATTGATCCAAGGATCAGGCTGGACTCAGTGCTTCACTCTGACTCTAATCCGGCTTAATCTGGACAAAAAAAAAATTATGCTTACCATTCCTTTCTCACACAAACACACACAAGGGCACATTAACACTCATACATACACACTGGCACTGAAGACACATTTTTGAAAGTCAAGGCTTGAGAGCAATCTTCCATGTACCATTTACTCTCTGTAACCCTGATTCTTTCGTCCCACCTTCTCTCTCTCTCTGTTCAGTTCTCTTGCTCCCTTACACACATTCTTCACTCTCATGACAGGTGATTTTGCTATGGTAGCGGAATTCAGACTGAAGCACACACCACACTGCTCATCCATAGCTCAGCTGATCAATTATTCAATAGAGAGGGAGGCCGGTCAAAAAGAAGTAGAGAACAAGAAAAGGGTAGGTGATGGGGGGTAAATGGACAGTAAAAATTTACATTTTTAAAGGAATAAAGTAGTGTTTATTATGAGAGATTTATCCGTGCAAATCATTATTTTCTTAAAATTCTTGTGCCCTCATACTCTTTTATCAAAAGCATTCCCCTCCCTCTTTTCATCTCTCATCTCTTTTCTAATGATGTGCGCATCAGCACGAGAGCAGGACAACCATTCCCTCCCTTCCAATAACCTGTCACTCACATGAGATTAGCAATTAGCAAGTGACAACGATTCAATCAATTCCCAATGGACAAAATCAAGTCCAGTCCTACATTTTTTCTTGTTTGATAAGCCGCTTCAGTCGGATATACGTCACAATACGGAGGAAAAGACAATCACATTTTCTGTTTCATGCCGACTTTAAGGAAGTCGTTTATGTCCTTCAGAATATTTGTGTGCATTTATGGGTTTCTTTTTTGTACATATGGACTCAAATGGAATCTGAACACTTTATCTGAAACAGTTTGTGGGAAGAATTGGAGGAATTCCATGGAATGGAATATTGCATTGCATTATGTTTTGCAACCCACAATAAAAACTAAATATCATAATACATAATCTTAAGACATTATTGGGAGATATGGAGTGACAACTAAAAAGTTATATGCATTATATTCAAGTAGTCTGCAATAGTGCAATACAAGTTTAAGATTACAATCAGAATTTCATCGTATTTTCTAATCATAAATATCAGCAATCTCCCTATTTTTGCTCAGTTTGGGCCTCTGAATAAAATGGTGTTTTTTTCTGCTCGAGTATTCTTCTTCTATATCATACTATCTGAGCCAAGAAAACCTTAAAAATATCAATCATATCAAATATTATACTTAACAAAAAAACATGTTCAATAAACTTTTCCATTTAAAAAATAGATTTTTCTGACTATGATTTAAATGCCAGGCTTTAAAGGGTTAAAATTGGCTAAAAGTAAGCTGAGAGCTACACTCTTGATAGCTGAAAGCATGATCAAATAGCGAAAAAGAAAAAAGAAAAAACAAATATACATGATACAATAGGTTACGTGTAGAAAATCGTTCAAAATATAGTATGTTCAAGTAGGGTCCATCTCTGAGAAAGTATGAGCGAAGGGTTGGTTGATCTGTCAGATATGCCTGCTCAGCTTGATGAACAAGCATCACTGGGGGCGTGATACTAATAGTTCTGACAGCAGGGAGCAATCGGCCCAACCCTCAGAGTCGATACCCTACACGATACGAGCAACCTGCAGAGCGTACTGCAATACGCACAGCCTCAGTGGTGCAACAAACCCACCCACTGCTCTTCTCTGTTTCAATATCACCCCCAGCATAGGACTTCCCTTAATTTAAACCCTCATCTTTCACACACACAGAGTGCTGGCACTGCAGGAGCGTTGCCAGGGTGACAGAAGGCTGGTCTCCACCCTGCAGGCCTCTCCCCTCCTCAACATATGCTGCACCAGTGTTAACACACACATACAGTGAGTCAATAAGACGAGGACTCTGGCTCTCTCATGGTAGCAGAGGTGGTAATAGTCTATCGCTCACTGCAAACACATACATGTACACTCACTGTCTGTCGCATCTGCCTGATTAGACAGATTTTACATCCATCCTCAGTTTTTCCTTCTATATCTCTCTCTCTCTCTCTCTCTCTCTCTGTCAATCATCACAGTGGCTTTGAATTACAGTGCGACATACTGAGTCCATTTCCAATGTGGGGTTGGGTGACACTGTTGGCATCACCCTGGTTACAAAGACAGATGACAAGACAAAAAAACAACAAAAAAAACAACAACATGCAGCTTGGGTCAGCTCCTTCTGTTACTGCTGACACACACACACAATCAATACGCATCACTCACACAGACCTTCAGTTCCCTGCAGCTGTTGAGTCAGGGTCTCTTTAATTATGAGAGTAGTTGAGGAAGCAGGAGAGAAAGTGTGTGTTTGAGTGTAACTATCAGATGGGAGGCCTGAATTTATGTATGTTGAGTGTCCATGAAAATTTGTAACTGTCCTGTGAACGTGTTTGCTGAGTGGAAGAAACAGTCTCACACCTCTTCCCTGATGCAATGATCAGTCAAAAGTCAAAACAGTAATTTCCCCCAAGACAGTTGATTGGTTTAAATGCAAAATGTTGCAATAAGTTTTAAAATGCGGTAACACCTCTCAAATATTAACATTAGTCCATGTATTATGTTATCTAACATTTTTAAAGCATTTAGGTTATTTTACAAATATTCTGTGCCATTCAAAAGTTGGGGCTGTCTTTATTTGATCAAAAATACAGTAAAAACAGTAATATATATAGAACTGAAATTAACTGTTGTCTATTTTAATATATTTACTCCAGGTACCAGTGTCACATGATCCTTTAGAAATCCTTCTAATATGCTGAGATAATCAAGAAACATTATTATTATCAATGATGAAAACGGTTGTGCTGCTTATTATTGTTGTTGTGGATATCATGATACATTTTTTTCAGGAATCTTTGATGAATAGAATCAAATGTTATTATTAATGTAATAATGTAATGTTGATAACCCAAGATGAGTAAATGCTGTAAAGTATTGCTCATTAAAAATGTATTTCATGTTTGCTGTTGCATTAACTAAAATGAACATTATCGTACAGTATTTATTATAAAAGCACAAGACAAAGGCTGTCAGTCTCACAGCATCCCAATCGAAAAACATGATGAGCATGCCACATTTCACAGATGCTT